ACTTATTAATCCTAATATTTATAGAATAATTGTATGCAACTGAGTATTATTATATAAAATGTTATTATTTATGTTGTACAGCTTTGAATATATGTATAGTATTGTGCAATTCCAAATTTTACTTCCTTATTTTTTTGAAGTTACTTATTAAAGTCTCTTAGAGATAGCAAAGATGTTTTATTGTTTCTAAACAAGAACCGAAACCCAATCCATTTGACTACTAAATAAAATAAACTAGTTGTACGTTTTTCAAACAGAATACTGTAATTTATTACAGATCTAGGAATTTTTACACATAACTAAGGAATTTATTCTTTACAAAAACAAGGGATGTGTTGAATCAAATAATTTCAATCTACATACAACAACATAATAAATAAAGCTACAGGTATAAGATCATTACTAGTCACTAGTAATAGTAATGACTGACTGCTGATGAATATCACAATTAAAATTAATTTAATCATCACATCCTGTCAAACCATTGAGATACGTGGATCGTTGTATCTTGGAATATAGTCGGTTTATAACAAATGGAGACTCGGACTAGTTCCCAAAACGTAAATGTCGTAGGTACAAGTGCTTTGTCGTTATCGTTACTGGGCGTGGTCCCCGCGAGGTGGTCACGCGGCCGGCGTGGGCGCAGGCGGGACATTCTCGTCCGGTTTGCTCTCCAATGAAAACGGCGGAATCCGACAGTCAAATGTGTAACCGTCTTCGCGCTCCATTCTAAATGTACCCCTGCAATAAAATAAAAATTATGAAGTCATTCATTCTTAACATTTGGAGCTTATGTAATATGAGTTGTCCAATCAGAAAGAAGTTGGTATGTCTTAGTGTCTAAGAAGTTCTCCTTGAGAATTTCTCATACCAAGAGATAATAAAATTCTGATTATGATTCACCTTATTGCTTACTAGAGCCTCTAGCGACTACAGAAGGACCGGATTCGCCGCGATTATTTCGTGCGTATCGCCGCGTATGCGCGCAAGCAATTGGGGACTAATTTAATTTTTTTTTTTTTTTGTTGGCATAATCAGGTGATTCCAAATCCCCTATCGCCGACCGTTTTTCTATTTCGTCTATAAATAATTCCGTAGAAAAACGGGGTAAATAGAATTTCAGAGGTGAATAGATAGGTACACAAAAAGGTTGAATAGATGTTAGCGAACTTTTCTATTATTTATTCACCCCTCTTCTGTATATATTCAGTCCTTGAATCATGTATTAAAATGTTGGCGCTCCATATCCTTGGATACGTGCACTCACTCTGGAGTTCGCGCGTTAACTGGGCGCGTCGAGAGTCTGGCGCAGACCTCCTTGTCCAGAAGAAGCGAATTCGTCGCAAAACGTTTCGCGCGAATGCATTCGCGCGCTATTGAGTTACTTGGCACGAAAGAATCGCGACGAATTCGTCCTTTCTGGACAACCCCGTAGTACACACGATTTTTGAATTTGCGCGATGCTTCTGGACGTGATGTTACGGTGTCTAGTATCACACTAACGCGCGAATGATTTCGCGGCGAATTCGCCGTTTCTGGACAAGGTAGTTCTCATTAAAACTATATTAAGGAATGAAATAGAAGTAATGTAATATCTGACCACATGTGTCCGCTGGGTGCCTGCAGACTAACGTGGCTGCTGTACTGGAAGGCGGGCGAGTGTCGAGCCAGTACGGGCTCCTGGCCAACCACGCCGCGGCCGCGCACTGTCTCCAGCGTGCCGCTCAGAGAGAATATACGCCAGTGTCGCTCGCGTAACTGCACCGCTTGGGAACCCAAGTTTTCCAGACGAATACAATAACGCCACTGTAAAATACACAGATAGTTAATTTGATACTTTTATTTACTATAAAATAAACTTCACTGTTTTAAGCGATAATCTATATATAAGCTTATGATCATCTTAAAAATACAAATACTAAGTTATCTGCCCTATAATTACTGCAATGAAATTGATCGAAGATTGTAGAGTTAATGAAAAATTTATAAAAAAAAGAACTTTTCAAATAGAGACTTCTTTAGAAAAAAAAGGAGGTTCTCAATGAAGGTCCTATTATTGTTGTACACAAACTCCCTTATTTCTTATCAAACTTACCCAATACACCGCAGAGTTTTGTGACTCGCGGCTGCCCATATAGAATGGTATGACGGTAACACGCACGCCCTCTGTGGTCTCCCGATGTACGTCGCTTAGTTCTAGCCAAGGATGGTTCTTCTTTTGCCAGGCTCGAAGAGTCTCTTGGGCTATAAAGGGTGGGTCTGAAAATAAAAAACGTGAGTTCTGAAAAATGTTTATGTATTCCTGTCTGTTTTAAATAGAAGTGTATTAGAGAACCTGATATTCAATAAGAAATCTTTTTACTTATACAGCTCTGTTCTAGGTAAACTTAAGTAATTTTAATACTAACTTTTAAACTTTCGCGTTTCTGCTTGGTCTGCCAATTAAAATTTGACAATTAATATTGTTAGACCAAGCAGAACAAGTCTGCTTGTGACCACGACCTGTGCAACCGGGTCGAAACGTCAAGCCTACCAAGGTATTCAAATTATAATTTTCCGCGTTAATACCCGCGTAAATATAATGTTGTTAAGTAATTTTTTTTTGAACATGACATTTAAAGTCAGAAATTTTATTTGGTACTTCCAAAGTAGTACACCTTTTAAAATTATACATACATTAAAACTTGCATCCTTTACCTTTATCAGCATTATGCATAAGGAATTTGTCAAACAACTCATGCTGTAGTGGAACTCGTTCTACTGAAGTGTAGGGGATAATGTCATCGTGTGCCACATAGTCCAGTCCAGGGATGGCATACAAACTCCGGCTCGACTCCTGGTTACCGAGGAAGGTGACGGCCTCTGTTTGCGCACGCTGTAACATGAATATTTGACATGAATGGAAAATTATGTGACCCTTAAATTGAAGACAATTTGACTACCAAGACAATTAAAATCTATTTTCAATTTATGATCTGTTTAAATTGACTTGGTACTTTAAATTGACTTATTAATCAATCAAACATGGTAGTTAAATTCACTTCTTGAACAGATAGCCTATGGAGACTAGCTGTAAAAAAATCAAATGTTGAAGACGTCTTATATTCAGCCTGTTTGTTTAACTATAGAAGAGAGCTTGGATATTGTAAGATTGATATTAAAAATGTTTATCAATCTAGTTTAAAATAAGAAATAATCTTACTTAAGAAATTATATTTGCAATAAATTATGTACCTAACATCATTTCAGAAATGTTAATAAACAACGCTACACTATAGGTTAAGACAACAGAGATTTGATTAATTTTTTACTCTCTATGAGTATGAACTAGGTAAGTAACAAAATAATGTTAGCCACATTTTGTTTTATATGGATCTGTGTACCATCACACCATAGATAAAAATAATTAATGAAATAATGATAATAAACTTAAATGAGGACCCACATAGTTTTTGTTAGAAAACATGACTTAGTTATGAGAGATTAAATGGGAAGGTATTCAGGCATTTGTCAAACTCTACACATATATTATTGTACCTTTTTCTTCCATTCTGGTCTCATGTCGATGTGTGAAATGATAGCCAACAATAATTAAGCCCGTTAGTATACATGTATTCATATGTATTTCATACATTAATACTTTATTTTCTATCAAAATACATAAACTTGAAATAAATATTGTTTAGGCTAATGCCATGATCTCTGGCACTGGCATGTTATTGTTTTTTTTTAACAATACATTGCAATAATAGCACCTGAATAATGTTTATTCTAATTTATTTATAGTCCATTTATACCACTCTTATTTTTAAATTTGTCTGACTACATTATTATTTGTGTTCTTGATAAGGTAGATATAAATAAAAGTAACTTAAATACACAAAGAGAAAGAACATTCACAGATAATACTATGTTGCTAAGTAATTAATTTGGAGTTGTGCCATTTAATTACCCATTCAGTTGCTGATCATCATTTACCTAGATATAGGCACCACATTCCACATGCACACCAATTGGAAGTTATAATGACTTACATAATAACAATATATTAAAACAATACAATAAGATTCTTATAAGATCCACTTTCTTTTATCATAAATCTATGAACAATTTTGCATTATCTAAGTAATAAAGATACTTACTATATATGGTGCATCTCTGGTGTCAATAAGAACTTGGTAGAATGTATGTGTCCTGCCCTTGACTTCCTTCCCAACATTGGATAACGAGTCGCCCGAAGCCTCCGTTGTAGCCGCAGAGTCCTTGGATTCCTTCTTGTTAGTGGCATCTCTGTCATAAACTCGTGCCAACCAAGGAAACAGTATCACGCCTCGATAACCAAACACCTTGTGTAAAATTAACTGACCTGTATCATATTTCCCCGTCGCCTTGGGTGGCTCGAGTTTTCCTACCTCAGCCAATCTAAAATCATGATAATAAAATTACAGCATCTTAATAGGTTATGCAGTTATTGACTACCAATATCAATTAAATGTTTTACCTTGTATAATTTGCTACATGATTTAATAACAATCTAGAAGTAGTCACTTTTAATGGAGTCCTAGGTATAATTCTTAACAATGTCTCCATTTTATCATTGTAATTTGTATATTTTTTTCCTATTTTTGTTTGACAGTTGTTGACTTTGACAAAATTCTAATCAAATAATCAGAGATATTTTTTATTATTTTAGCAGTCAGTCAGTGTCAATGTCATGTCTTTTTTTGAACAAATCTTAGTCGATTTTTTTTTGTTACAAACTTATGATTCTCGATTCACCTTTGTACGTCAACGTGAAAGGTAACTTTAAATAAAATTAAAACAAATATTCAAATACCCACTGAATGCATGTTTTAATAGCTATTGATTTAATACCGTTTATTTTATCAGATCGTTAAATTATATACCCTTATAGCACTCATTTAAAAAGTGAGTGTGCATCTCTAATAAATTTCTAAACGTATACATAAGTCTACTCCTTTATTACTTTACTCTTTGACATAAGTTCACCATAAGTTCAAAGTCCTGGTTTATTTTGATACCTTTCTCTGATTGTTTTTGTTTAATATTTCTAAAATGATAAAGAATTTTTCTAAATTAGTGCAAACACTTGGTGAGTTAATAAACTTTACAAGACTTAATTAACTGGAAGAATGGAATTAATAAAAAGTATGTCTATCAATTTGCTAATGTTACTAAATATATTTTAATTTAATTTACAGCTCCAACAAGTGTTAGACAGACAAGATGCATAGCTTCACTGTCAGCCCTCTCAGACACTTACCAAATGTTATACAAGACATGTCGAGACTTTGCTGAAGGGGAACTGAAGCCCAACGCCGCTAAGTTCGACCGCGAACATTTGTACCCTGGCGATGCAATAAAAAAAATGGGTGAACTGGGCCTTATGGCCATAGCGGTACCGGAAGAACTCGGCGGTGCTGGTCTGGACTACCTCGCTTATGCTATAGCCCTGGAAGAGATCTCAAGAGGATGTGCGTCAGCTGGAGTGATAATGTCTGTCAACAACTCACTTTACTTAGGGCCCGTTATGCACTGGGGCTCTGACAAACAAAAGGAGCAATTTGTAACACCATTTTGTTCTGGTATGTTACTTATATTTAGAACTATATAACTCATTCGGTTGCCAGTGCAAATGCCAATTCAGTCTTGTATTAATTCTACTTTTTATATCAACAGTACAGTTTGTATTGTCTGGACCCAGTGTGCTACTTAAACAGTGGCAAAATTGGTGTCCTAGAGCCCTTCATGGACCTGCACTTCCTTCAGGAATGTAGGACAGTTGTAAGTGAGAGTCCCACAATAGGTGTAGGATGGAAATATAGATTAACAATCTTTGATACATGATAGGCTTAAGGTTGCACAATGTTTGGTGTTGGTAAACTATATGCACTATTTGCTTCTAACTGCTGGGCTGGTCAGCTCATTGTACAGTATTATAATTTTCTTCTAGTTACAACCCACTTGGTAGTTTAGTACTCTTTTGTGAAAAAATCCATTCCCAAAAAAAAAACATGGACAAAGTTTAAGTCACTAAATGTTATACAAAAAAAAATATTGCTGCATCAACAAACTTGTATTTCCTCAGAATCAACAAGAAGTGTTGTAACATAAAATACATCCAAAATGATGGATATCTTAATGACTTCATAAACACAATCATGTCTATACTTAAAATCTTAAAAAAATATTCAACAGACACTTGATTAAGAGTAATATTTAATTTTCAGGTGAAATAGTTGGTTGTTTTGCTCTCTCTGAGCCTGGCAATGGATCAGATGCTGGGGCAGCTTCCACCACTGCTAAAGATGCTGGTGACAAGTGGACTCTGAATGGCACAAAATGTTGGATAACCAATGGTTATGAGAGTAAAGCCTCTGTGGTCTTTGCAACCACGGACAAAAGTCTGAAACACAAAGGCATATCAGCTTTTATAGTACCAAAACCTATTAAAGGTTTAGAATTAGGGAAGAAGGAGGATAAATTAGGTATTAGGGGTTCATCAACTTGTTCCCTCATGTTTGAAGACTGTCATATTCCAAAAGAGAATATTCTTGGTCAGCCAGGCCTGGGCTTCAAGATTGCTATGATGACTTTAGATGCTGGAAGGATTGGCATTGCTTCACAGGCTTTGGGTATAGCTCAGGTAAGATAACCAGAATATCTCTTGCATAAGTAAGCCTTTATCTCCTCAGGTAGGTATATCTGATGGTTAATTTTCCAGGCATCTTTAGATGTAGCTGCTGAATATGCATCTAAGCGCACAGCATTTGGGAAACCTATCATGAAACTGCAGTCTATCCAGAATAAGTTGGCTGATATGGCTCTACAACTGGAGTCTGCAAGATTGTTGACTTGGAGGGCTGCTTGGTTGAAGGACAATAAGAAGCCTTACACCAAAGAGGCAGCTATGGCTAAACTGGCAGCTTCAGAAGCAGCTACTTTCTTATCTCATCAATGTATACAAGTGAGTAGTGTCCAATTAACATATTGGGCAGATTTATAACTGGGTTGTTTTATTTAATACATCATCAATCACAAACTAATACTTGTTATAAACATAAAAAATTGTTACATGATTTCTTTTTCTAGATTCTTGGTGGAATGGGATATGTATCAGATATGCCAGCAGAAAGACACTACAGGGATGCAAGGATCACAGAAATATATGAAGGAACCTCTGAAATCCAGAGGCTTGTCATAGCAGGACAATTGATTAAGGAGTATGGTCTCAATTAACCCTCAGTATAATTACTAATTACTGTAGTTTTAAGCATAAGACTGTTGTATTACCCAATTTTAGTATAATTTACCAATCAATCATATAAATATCATCTAAAAATTAACAAACCCTTTAAATCCTATATTTTAGAGTCTGTACAAGTTTTGAATTCAATTTATATTTACACATTTATTATTATTTATTTACGGTCTTACTAATAAAGTTCGGTTACACACTTGTTTAACACTTTGATAGCTATTCATTGAATAGGGAGTTAGTACTACTTTATACAAGTCATTACAAATAAACAATGCGTATACCTTGAATAACTATTTATTCCTTATATTGCTGATTGCTAGCAACATTGATGAAAGCGTTCCGAAACTTCTGAACAGAAACACTTCTTGACAATATTCTTGTATTATTATAATCATTTAATTATAATAATCAATAAAATACTTGATTTTGTAAAACAAAAAGAAGGTTTTAGGTTTTTAATTTAGTTTCAAAATATTAATTTATCAATTCTTTGCGAAACATTTTTGATAAAAATGTTGATATTTCGAATGTACCTAATCAATGTCAAATACATATTTGACACAAATTAGAGTCGTGTGGCATTAGAATTATACTTCGATAATCCAATTAGGTACTGAAAATATTCGTAACAGCTTTTAATAATTGGTGTTATACCTATTACTGAATATCAAGCTAATATTATGGCAGCTGATCTTATATTCCTTTACCTATAATTGATGTGAAATAATGTTATAAGTATTAAGACACATTATCTCCACGTCAAACAACTTTAAAACTTCACAATCTCCTTTAAAATTTCTGTTTATATCGCCATCATACCCCATCTTCTGGTTAGTCAACTGCCAATCAGCTGGTTCTGACCAGTAGACATGTGAAATTAAATTAGTTTATCCAAATATATCAATGAACGTACAAATAAATAAGTATTACAAATATTGTATTCGTAATACGTATCTGTATCTATTACAGATATTTCGTCACACTTCTATGCCACGTATTAATTTTTATCCTATGTTTGATGTTTGATGTTGTGAATAAATATCATCATCATCATCAGCCTATAAGTGCTCACTGCTGAGCAAAGGCCTCTTTTAATACTGAGAAGGTTTGAGCATTAATCACTACGCTTGCTCAATGCGGGTTGGCGATTACAAACTTACAATTGAATGAATATAAATATGTTCAAATAAAAATAGAAAAGATTATGTTTATTTGGAAATAGTAATGCGATTGTTGTTTTGCTTTTTAGGAATAACAACCTGGTTGTACCGACAAAAATAAAAATACTGACACTGGATGTTTGATTTTATTAAAGATGCCTTATTCAAGCAATCACATTTCTAAAGTAACAAATTCTGCGATATACGACACGACTTGCCAATACGATAGATACTCTGCGACACACATTTGTGATAGATTACTGACTCATTCCATGAATATCAGCTGATCAGCTGCATCAGCTTGATCTTTTGTCGTGTAAAGGCAGGGCTCTAGAGCTATACAGGCATGGATTTCTGCTGGGAGACCGTCACCCTTAGTCCTATGCGGTACCTATATCATGAGATAGCAATTCAACAAATTCCATATTATGTTTCTTTGAAAATTTATATTTTCTTTATAAACTCTGCACCTTCTAATGAAAAAATCATCGTTAGGATCATTGCAAAATTAATTTTCTTTCTTTTTTGTTGATTTTTCGGATTTCACAATCACTAAACACGTTTTAGCAAAATAATGTAAAATCAATTTTATGAGTCTGACAGTTAAAATACGAAAAGTGATCGCTTATTCACACGTTATACTAGGTCCACGGGCTGAATAAGTCTTGTCTAACATTTCATACAATTTTCACAATAGTTATAACAGCTGTATACGCGAGAAATGTCAAAAGTTGATTATTAGTAATGAGTCTGCTATACCCCTGTTATAAGATGTGTGTAAATTTTTATTAGTAAGGGGGTTATATTATAAAGTTATAAAATAAAATGTATTTTTAGTATTTCCAAATACTTTATTGATTCCTCTAAAACTGTTAATAATACAAATCATTAGTCCTTAAAATATTAATATTCTGTTATAAATTGAGTTTTACACAAACAATACTCCATGATTATAGAGAAATATTTCTAATTGGAAAATATTTTGAGTGGAATTAAGTAGCACATAACAGTAATACAGATATAATTGCACCATCTTAGTATGAGTACAACATTATGGAATGACATTTCAAAAATCTCATAATGATATACAGAGTATAAAATAAATGCTAAACTTTGGTTTACACTGGTTACTGTCCTGGGCCAGATAATGACTTGTCCATGAATTTCCTCTTGGCAAAGCATAGCCACCACTTGCTGGGCTTGCCATCTTCTGTAGCAAATACCTGGAGAAAACAATAATTATATTAATGCTATGACCAAATTGTTTTAATACTAACAATTTTTCATCACATTGATTAATAGTTTAACCTTTTCACAAACTCTGGCACCAGTCTCATGTCTCAACTGCTGCAAATACTGTCTCATCAAATCTGGAATAAGACAAAATATTTTAGACACAAACCTATACTGTAAGTAATATAATGCAGAAAAAATAAACAGTTCAACATACCAGCCTCTTGAGTGCTAGTGGGCTTAGCATAGACAGAATTTAGAGGAAAGCCATATTCACCAGGAATGTCAAATTTAGATATGGCCAACATATACATCTCCTGTTGCCCTTGGTTTTTGTTTGAGCACTTCTGAAGCCGTTTCAGACATTCAGAAATATACAGTGTTAGGTAAATGAGAACTCTGTCAGCATCAGACTGAAACAATAATAATTTAACAATAATACAACCATCTGTTGATCCTTGTGAGAAGATAGCTTCTTATTGCTTCCCTTACCTTGATCTCATAAAACCTAAAGAAAACATTTGCTTTAAAATAGTTGAGAGCTTCATCAATAATATCCAATTCAATCTTAGGACTCATAGGAGCTGGGCCCCTGAACGAAGTACGTATTGGTAACAGAGCGAGATTACCAACGGATTGGGTGTAGTCAGTCAACGTCGAATGATAAGCCTATGAGGAAATTGTTAAATTAGTATTTACACGACATTTTACACAAAATAGATTGATAATCGGTATAACTTTAACTTGTTTGCTATAACTTTATGAACTTACAGGCATTTTTATGTGGGAAAATGAATATTTTACCAAAAATAAAGTATTATTTCACTTCCGCCGGGTGAGTTTACTTGTTTTTAACCTGAAATTCTTTGCAAATATTATATGCTAGTTATGTGCCTGTACTAGGGACATAAAAGATTAAACAAATAAAATTATTTTAGTGAAATATGTCTCTAATTTTTATGAGGAAACGAAAACGTAAACGAATGAATCACTTCATTGTAAAGATTCGGAAATTGACAACTGAATGACAACTTCACAATTATATTTTTAGCTTTTGACAGCGAATGAATCACAGACTAATAAATTAATGTAGATCGACTTACTGCAAAATAATACGAACATGACTTTTGTGTTGTATATTTTAGAAGCATTTTTAGCCTATTCCCAAATCTGCATTCAGCAAAGTCTTGATCGCAGATTTAAATGTCTCAAAATCATTATAATCGACTAAACTTGGTACTCATAGTGAAGTTTGAAGTTTAAGACTCACAAAATGTTGTTTGACATTGACAGTTTTGATGCCATCATGGAGACTTGTTTGTCAAGTTCTATTGACAGATATACAAACACGTGCTTGTATTTGTGTGACTGTGATTATTTTGTGTGAAAGTTATTGATATATTTGCGACAATATGACTGATGAAACTCATAATAAAATCCTTGCTATCGTTGCAAACATAGCTAAAAATAAAGACACAGTTGAAAATGTTATCGTCGAAGATGAAATATCAGAAACCGAAAATGATGAGAAAGATAAGAAATCTTCAAAGAAAAAAGAACCGATCAGAGGAATCCCAAAGTCCGGAAGATTTTGGAAATCCAAAAAGGAGAAGTAAGTTCATATTTATAAAGTAGTTGACTTTCATAATGATCATTACCTATATTAGGCAATCATCTAAACTTAAAATCATTATTTTTTAGGTTCTCCAAAATCAATAAGACTAAAGGACTTAGAAACAGCTTTGAAAAGAAACAAGCATTGCGTGAGCAGATGCAAAGAACGAAAGAGCAATCTAAACAGTTATTAGAAGAATTTAAGCAAAAACAATTAGAACGGAAGGAAAGAAGACGGCAAAATATTGAACGCGCGGCAGAAAATAAACGTAAATCAGAAATTGTTCAAGTAATCACTAACACAGCTAAGCTAAAGAGAATGAGGAAGAAGCAACTTAGATTTATTGAGAAAAGGGACACTAACAAACAAATTGAAACTAATAAATAAGTTTCATACTAAATAATGTCTTTTCTTTGATACATTGCTCATTATTGTGTGGATACAAACATATCCTGACTTGACTTAAAATTGTGCAATACTAGTATAACATGTGACACTTCATTGTGCATTCCTTGAAGTTAGAAATGCACTACATTACTTGCTATTCACAGGTATTTTAGAAACATTAATATATTTCAGAAGAATTAATTTAAATAAATAAACAAATTATACAAAGTAAGAACCCCCAATATTTTATAAATAGCACTTAATATTTTGCATTATTTGCTAGGTGTTTCAGGCAGTCACAGTCTTTTCACTTAGTACATTGTTAACATCTATACTATACAAGAAGACCCGGGCAATAGTTTATTCTTTCCTCAACAGATGACATATTATGCTAAGCCAGCTTACTCCTATTAAATTTTTACAAATATTGACAACAAAGGTTTTTATTTATTATATATGCATTAAAGCTTATTCTTTTTAGTAAAAATAGATGAAATGTGCATATGCCAATAAAACTTAAAAGGATTAATTATTATTAGACCCAGCTTGATAATGGTATTTATACTTCTACCAATTGGGTAGTTTCTTAGGTCATAATATAATTAGGTTATAAATAATTCGACGTTTTAATACAATAAAATATTAAAAAATAACTATACTTTTGTTCATTGATCGATCGATACACAAAATTTTAGATATATTTTTAAGCATTTTTTTAAGAAATAAGTACGCTATTTGACGTAAAAATACTATGCCGTCATAACTCGGTGTTTCATACAAATTTCTTAGAAAAGTATCGTTTTTGACATTTAAATAAAGATATTGAATTTGACTGGTTGGAAACTGCCGTATTACGTTCGCAGTGTTTTCTATTATCATTTGTAAGTTGTTTCTCATAAACTTGGAAAGTACCTACAATCACTTGGAATAATTATGTCACCTGATTGCTTGATCAATTTCAAACCGGCCTCATGCAAGAGATGATCATCCTACCATCAGGCAAACACAATGTAAGACTTCAGAAATAAATATTAGAAACCTCTTTCATGTTGCTCTATACAAAATTGTAGCCTTTAATTAATTAAAATTCAGCACTAGTTTTAGCACATAATTTTGGATCCTTGTTTGGGGCAGTAAATAAGATGCAAATATCCTTTCATCTAATATTTTTATTGGTATTTATAGCAATAAACATACTCCCACAGATACATATAAAAATATTAAATGCAATTTTCCAAGTTTTGGCAGGTAATGAATTGTGTGGGCGTTAAATATTTACATTATTAGTCTCAAGATCAATGATGAGATGAAACAGTGACGCAAATAATGGAACATCAATCTTAATATTAATTTCACATAATTATGTTTATGTACATCAATGACAAAACTTCAGTGACTATTTATATAAATATCTATAAAATACACCAAAACTATTTGGATACACTTTACATTGAGAATACAAAGCAAGAAAATTTTATCTATGTGATAGACATCAGCAAATTCATAAGTGACAGTGTCTGTTACTTGATAAACAAAGCCTCAATAATATTTTTACATCACTTTTGTCAGAATACTGTTTCATATTAATAGTATTTAGCTCGCACACAGTAAACTTATCAATGATAACCACTTAGTACAAAATAAACCTATTAAAATAAATCCAAAATAAAAATGTTATAAATTGTTATAAAAATTAAATCACACATACCAAGTATACGCCTTACGATGTAATGTCTTAACATCTTTTATTAAATTCAATCAAATAATTTACAACAACAATACAGTTGTTATAATAATAACAACAATAGTTAGTAGCTTACAATCTAATATTTTAGTCTAACATTTGTCTATAATACTCCATTCAACATATAGAAAAAATCTTCATTGAAAACATCAGTCTAAGGCAGTGACAACAAAGTTTGATCATTGGAACGAATGATGACCACTTGTGAACCAAACTGTAATAATATCATAATACAATATGTAGGGATACATCACAAACTTGTCATATTTCTAATTTGATCTTGATTCCAATACAAAACCCATAGAAAAGTACGTATAAGTGTAAAATAAAAATGAGATTCATACAAAAGATCCTAACATAAAAATGAGACATACAAAACGTGTGCCTGTCGTTGCGGCTCTTTTACGTAGATTCTGTCAACTAAACTGGAACCTGTCAATAGCATTACATACTGCATGCATGATTCTAATATCTCAGCAATCTCAAACAGTTACTGTGCAACTATTCAGTGAATTGCTTCATCATTTGTCACATGCAGTACAACTATATATGTCATATAAAAAAAATATGAAATAGAAAAAGTTTAATGAAATGCTATGACTGAGTATTTTCAAAATACCAATTGTAATGTCATAGTTTTACTTTAATCAAAATCTCTCGCACTGGTCCTGATCACTACACAGTTTATTCATAATCAGCAAGTTACCCTGTGCTGTAACTTCTCAACTTAACATTTACTAACGAAACAAAAGCGTATCGACTAACCTAAAAGTACAACTTATGTCTTTATAATTATAATAATAAACACATCAACTCACATGTGGCCCAGTGGTGCGTGTACAGTTAGTTACAGGTCAGCAGTATATATGTATGTATAGTGCAACTCGGTATTCACACGCTGCGAAGGAATAATACTAATTACCTAGATCCACCGATACTTGAAGAACACAGAGACGGGGTGTGGTGTAGCGGTACCTAACTGTACAGTGGCGAGTGGGGGGCAGGCTCTACGCAGACAGAAGGGAGGGCACGCATCCACCCAGTCACACGTCGAAGTCTGCGCCCGACTTGCCGGTAGGCGGAGCTATGAACGGTTCACTCCACATTCTTCTGAGATCACCCTGCGGAAACAACAAGCATTAATTATGTATTATTTATGTAAACAACAGTTCAAGCAAAAGAAAACCAGTATTGTGTATAGATTGCTTTTATGCTTAAGAATATGGTTGAATGTATTGCTGACAAAGAGATTCTTACTTTAACATAAGCCATGGTGAGCAGCGGCAGCAGGGTGAAGGGCACGAGGTAGAGCAGCGCGGGCTGCGCCGCCTTGAAGACCTCGGCCGACACCGTGGCCGTCAGTAACCCCAGGAAGTAGCCCAGCAGTGAACAGTGGAAGTACGTCAGCCGGGAACCCTACACACATTATAATTTAGGTACAAAATGAAAATAAATTATTTTCATTCTTTGTTTACATTATTTCAGGTGTACAATCCAACCACGCGGTAGCGTATCATACAAAGTTCATATATACTGAAAATCATTAGTCTTCTTATGTGAAAAGTCATCAAAAGATACCAATTTAATAGCTATTTGGTATTCACTTTCATAACATACCATAGATCTGGGGCCTGGAACTTGTCCCATCTGACAAACGAGGGTAGCCTTCTTATACGCGTCGTATCGCAGCACAAAGCACAGCAGTAGACCAGGCATAACGATGTCGCCGAGACCTGAAACATCCAAAAGTACATTATTAATGCTTACTAAAACCTGTATCAATGAATCATTATTCGCTATTTTATAATTGAAGATATTGTGACGGAAAAGTGGTTCAAACTCTTTGACATCATGACGTCAATGGATGGTTGTCAAACGTTGCCTAGAGATTGTAAATTTCGTCGTGAATTGTCAACACGAGTTGGCCTATGCCCGGTTCCTATATTTAACGAATCGTCGTTGTATACGCATTACGACCAAATGACATTACGAATAGTTATCTTGACCGTCTACTGACGGTTAAAATATTTATAGGAACACCACAGACACCATAGATCTCCATACAATTCGCTTACCGACATCCGTTAGTTGCAAACCGTCAGTAAGTTGCACGACGAGACGTTTGTTATAGGAACGGTTTTAGCTTACGAGTCGTATATAAAACTACTATTCGTAACTAAAACGGATCGTTTCTCAATTATAGGAACCGGGCACTAATCGGTAAGGCGTGTGGATTACACCACAGAGACCCCGAGTTCGAGTCCCGCCGTAAACATGAAGTTTTTTAGTTGATGGAAGTCTTGTCGAACTTTCTGGAATTATTTGTGTGACAGAAATGAAAAATTAAAGAGCGAGAAGGAGAATAAATAAAAATGAATAACGAAATTATTGGAAGGTTCTGGAGGCATGACGATCAAAAAGAATAACGAAATTGAATGTTCCAGAACCTGACCGGGGGTATATAAGCGGAACTGCGGCTCACCGCTGGCAGTTGAGTTCTAAGTCCAAAGCGATTCGGAAGAAAAGGAAGAAGTGAAAAAGGAAGAAAAGTGAGTGAAATAGTGAAGTGCAGTGAAATAGTAAAGTGCAGTGAGTTAAGTGAAAGTCAGCGTGGACTGTGAGCGGCAAACGGAAGTTGTGTCAGTCGACCGGACTTTGCTGGAGAGGAACGGCGATAACTTAACTCCGTGGACGCTGTCACTTAATTTCAATAGAAGTCTGAAAACCGGTATTAGTGTTTAATTTCATCCAATCCCGTAACCCAGGCCCGCATAGTCAGAAACGCGACGTCAGGCACGTAACAATATTATTTTGTGATAACGATAAAACAATTACTTAAAAATAATCATAAGAAAACTATCTTGCGAATTTTGAGAAAACCAGTCGATATCAGCAATTGCCAGTATGTGTTTGGTAATGACCAACCGATCAGAAAATAGTACATTATGAATTTGGAGGCGATATGCAAGTAATTTTCAACCTTATAACCAACCCTCGGATAATGTAGAAATTTTAATGAAGAATTTATTAAATTATATTTCCTTATATTTGTATGGTACTGCCCGCCCTCCCGTTAGGTGGGACTGACGATATCTGAAGAGTGGCTGACAGAGGTTGAATGAGAAGAGCTGATGAACATCGAGCTTAGTGGCGTTCAGTTGGGGAGGCCTTTGTGCGAAATGTGTGATAATGATGACTGACCGAGCATGGAGAAGTGTCCCTGGTGGTGCATGGAGGGGAACACGAGTTTGGCAGGCAGCGACAGCTTCGGCGCGTCACGCATCGCGCCGCCCAGCTGCAGCCGTCGCGCTACTACGTTCATCGGGTTCTCTGCCGGCCTACAAACAACAAACAAAATAAATATAAGAAGTAACTATCGTTAAACTTATGTTACTTAAGCCGCGTTTCCATTATGCGAGTGACTAGCATACATTTTTTAATAGTAATTATAGTGGGGCATACTTATTGAAAATATCAATTATTAATAATATAATATACTATAATACACTACTTAATTATTGATAATATAATATACTCGCGTGACGCAGCCACAAAGCGCACGCTGCTCATGAATAAAGGTCTAGTTGTGACATGAAACTAGTAGAGTTTTTTTTAGTTTGTTCACTTGAGTAATTAATTATTTTCAATAAATTTACTTGCATACACGTTTTTAAGTTCATGCAATAAGGTTATACGCTTAAGGCGCGTTTCAGAAATTCAGAAGATCCTGTTACTGTTCCTGTACCTAGCTTAGAATAAGGGATATGATTGTTACCTTATACATAGTAAAAAATAAATTGTAATAATGATTGTAACTCGGCTTATTTGTAATTAACAATTACTTATGATTAGCAAATCCTGTAATCAGTCAATCTGATCCGTCAACAGTTATTTATTATAGCAGTTTTATTGTATTTATACTGGCTTAAGATCAACGTTGTATGTGAACCTGTTGGTTGAAATTGGGCGAGATCTAAATAATATAATCTATCAAGGAATTGTTTGTTGAGTCTTTTATATTTTAGCGGTTCCCTAAGACAACAAAGACTGCCAAACCGAGGTAGAAATACCGTATAGACATGATTATAAGTAATGTTTGGATCAGCTGGTCGAATTTCCAAATATCTTTAACTGTTAGGCATTTAGTTACAATGCTGGCGTACGGCGAATATCCACCCCTACGTTGTTGAGACACCTGCGGCCCGGACTAAGCGTTTTGCCTCGTCATTTATACCGCGTACATCGAGGGATTGGAACAGTTTGCCGGCTGCAGTCTTTCCGTCCGAATACAATTTAGGTGTCTTCAAGGCTAGAGTGAATAGGCTCTTAATAAACTAGTGCGCCACCACTGCGACACCATTACCATTAACGATTGCATCACTGCTTAACATCAGGTGGGATCGCAGTCAAGAACTGGTTTATTGCAAGTAAAAAAAAAAATGCTCCTGAGTACTGTAGACTATAAAACATCACCGTAAGGCCAATAGGAGCCGAGCAGCGAGTGTAACCGCGCGGCAGTAGCTAGTTTTACATAATCTTGATTCAATTAATAACACTTTCGGTAAGAATAGAGCGAGAGAGACCTTATCTATAGCAAACATTTGCACATTATCATGATAGATGAGATACAATTGTTTATAGACTGCTGTGTCCTTGTATCCTAGACCATATAATGGAACAATGTACAAAATATAGTGCTATAAATCTTATGCCTACATGTTTATGTGTCACGGCTACGTGGTATCTCGATTAAGTGGACGCCAAAATCCAAACTAATATTATAAATTCGAAAGAAACTCTGTCTGACTGTTTTCACGCCTAAACTACTGAACCGATTTCTGTGAAATTTGGTACAGACATAGTTTGGAAGTCGAGAAAGGACATAGGATAGTTTTTATACCAAAAATCTGCAGGAAGTCGCTATTCCATGCTAACGAAGTCGCAGACAAAGGCTAGTAAATCATATTTTAGAATACTTATATTCAGTAATTCAGTACAGGCCTAGGTGAGGTCTGGATGATACACGACATATTATAACCACGACTACACTGAAACGTTGTTTGTGTATCTAAATTGAAATTTAAGAAAACTTGTATACGATTCGCACCTATTCAAAAGAGAGAGGAAAAAGGGATAATTAAATCTTAAGTTAGTGGAGTAATTTAGTATCCGCATTGCACCCGTGTGAAGCCAGGGCGGGTCGCTAGAGGTAAATTAATAATACACACCTGGTAGCGACTTTGACCATGACGTTGGTGGTGAATATGTAAGAAGAGAAGAAGACCCAGAAGACGTCGTATAGCAGTAGGCCGGTGAGTAGTAGAGTGGACACCTTCAGGGACGGCAGCCGGATCAGAGCGATGAACGTGACGCACAGGCCCATTCCCATCGCTGGGGACAGTACAAACAAATATTTATGTTTTAAGGTGTGGGAGAGCCATGCTTCGGCACGAAAGAGTCGGTACGCCCGGAAACCGGCATGTTGTCGGCAACCACACTGTTGTTTCGCCGTGTTAGTGAGGTCACCGGAGGCCCAATCCTTCCCGTCCCCAATCTCAAAATCACCAAATCTCTAATCGCTTAAAACGTCGGCAACGCACTCGTAACTCCTCCGTTGTTGCGCTTGGCCATGGGCAGCGCTGATTGCTTTCCATCCGGTAATCCGTTTGCGAGTTTACCGACTTATCATATGAAAAAAAAATCTAAGAAAAAAAAACTTCTGAAAATATTAATTACAGTGACGTATCACGGATTCTGATTTATGGAGGGAAGGGAACTTTGTGTAACGCAAAAATTGTTGTTCTAATTCGAGAAAGATAAATTTTTTTAGGATCTTGTTTTTCAATATTTGGACTTCATGCAATAGAGTCGATCACACAAACATTCGAGGCGATCAGAACACTTGACATCTAAACAAGCATCTTATTCATATTATTATAATTCCATGAACTATCTTCTGATTACCACACATGCGTTTACATATTTCACGGAAAATGATAAGTTTGGCCCGAGGCCCGACTAGAAGAAACGAAACCGACAGTGAACGCGATAACAGGCTTATTATAAAGAATATAATAATAAGCAAGCATTTATTTGGTCAGTAAGTTCAACTTACTTAGTACACGTGTACTTTGGACCACTCCCGATACGCATAAGAAGCTCTTCTTTCTTCTGCCAGTTTATACCTGAGCTGTCGTCGAACGAAGAAGTCTTCTTGCTTCTGTACGTTTGCGAAGAAGATTCGATGTTTCTCAAAGTCAACATTAAATAAATCGTTGAAGTAGCATGCAATATAAGAAGGTGCTCTCGGATTTTTGCTTATTAAATCTTGGTGTATCTATAGGTAGATCGATTGTATCAACTATCAATATTTTAAAGTTAATCCAAGTTTTTTCTTATTAGTCTACCATAGACCAATAAAGACTTGGATAAGTATTGGTAGGTTTCTACTGCTGATTAAAGAGCAGAGTAGTGTGTAAATAAAGAATAAATTGTTTCTTTTGTCTTATCAAGTCTGAAGCTTTAAGTTTATAGGCATTGAACCGATCGAGAAATTGCGAATTCTCGTATTGGAGGCCGTAATCCAATTTGGGTAAGTAAGTGTAAGTGAAGGAGCAAGTAAAGTCCTGACCGTCCATGAGCAGCCAGTGGCCGGTGAGCACCCAGACGGCGACGATGGCGGCGGCCAGCAGCGCGGCGGCCAGCTCGGGCGCCGAGTACCGGCCGCACACGGCGCCGCGCGCGCCGCCCGCCACGTACTGGCACAGCGGCGTCAGCAGGAACGCCAGCGCCGCACACGCTATTACTGCCACACGAACATACAACATTACATCACAATACACACACCATGTCCCCACCACCAATCCTCAAAACAAGGATTGCGGAAACCATCTACAAAATTACCAACGCACATAATATAACTCTTTTAGTGTTGCGAGTAGCCGCAGTAGGTGATCCATCTATCAGGTCGTTTGCCGACCATTACCATACAAATAAACAATGATTCAACGAAGTAGAATATGATATCAGGCCCATATGAAAGATTAATTGAAGTCAATCTTGGACTACAGACTCGTTAGGTACGATTATAATTGAATATATGTATGGATTGCAGTAGTCTAGTGTCGAATTAAGTCAGATTTAGGAAGGATCCCGTGTCCCAAATAGCTTAATTTTGGAAAATTAGTATGTCACTTTATTACGCTACGAAAATTTCCAGAACCGCAAATAATACAAAAATAATGATGTGTACAATAATAGGTATCGTTAGAACACCCGCCAGGACGGCGCTAAACCAATTATTAAGATTGGCGTTTGAGCAAAACTAACTAGACACGAGAACAAAAGATACTAACATCACTGATATATATCTAAGTATACTTACTTGCAGTGCATATGGCCACCAGCGTCTGCATGGAGTCGAAGAAAAAGAACATGATGAGCAGAGCGACTGAGGAACCGAGGGGGAAGCACAGAGCTTGCATCGTGTTCAGAGTTTGAACATCTGCAAAGAGACCACAGAACAGCATTAATTATAAGCCTAATGACTTTATTTTTGTAAATAGGCCATAAAACAGCACTTTTACACGTTAAAATTATTTGTAAAAAATCTCGACTACTCTGAGAAGAAATGCCGAAAAAACTCAGAGGTCCGTTTCTTTTCAAGTCCAGACAATGCGAAAAATTGGCTTGGCTATCTTATTACTATTATACATTTAAAACAGACTGAAGTTATACAATGTAAGACGAATTATACTAACCAGACAAAACCAAAGACCTCATATATTCTAATAAAACGTTTTGTATAAAAAACCGAAAAAATCTAAACCAATGAGTCTAGTTGGTTAGTTTACACTACAGAATGAAATACCATTTATAGAAGGCCGACGACAATTATCTATAGTACTATATATAGCAATAACGACATCACGTAAAGTATTTTTCACGGGACCATGATTTGCTTCAGCGAGAAATTAAGAAACAAACTCAATTATTAAGATCGATTTCACCTTCTCAATTATTATTTTGGTGACCTATCTGATCCCTGGTTTCGCCTGATTTAACATGTTTGTTCCGTAGCAGATGTATACCGGGTTCTGGCTGACGATGTTGATATAAGGAAAGATTAGAACAGCAATACGACGCCACCGAAACTACTTCACTTTTAAAACAATATTATTAAAAATATCACTACTACACTAGCTCTTACATGCGGTTTCACTCCCGTCATTTGACAACCTAGACATTTAGTACCCTATCCGCTCTACTTACCTGTCCTACGCTACCTACCCTACCTTGCCTTGCCTACCCTACACACTCTACTTTACTCTACCTACCTTACCTACCTACTCTACCTACCCTACCAAACCTACTCTACCTTGTGTAATGTCCTTCTCCCAGTTCTTAGCTACCTCCCAACGAATTTTCAGCCCAATTCGGTTCTGCCGTTCTGAGTTATAAATAGTGTAACTAACACGACTTTATTTTATATATATTTAGATTATCGAGAGAAGATTCTACGGAAAGTCCTCCATCCCACATTTCTCTAAAGATGCGAAAAATTTACGCGTAATCTTATACGGAGTCTGTCAGAAATTACGCTTTTCCGGTTAGGAGGTACTTAATGTAGGATTCAAAATAAACCTGTGCAAGTTTACGATGCAATACAGTGTCGGATTGCTTACAAATAGCATATGCCATTGACACAATAACAGTTTGCATAATAACGTGTATAGGTTACTACTTACAACAAGCACTTAGGTCATTCTGTGCCACTTAGCAACGCTAGCGCATTAGACCACCCGACCTGTTTCATAAATGGCCGTTATAAATATTATGAAAACATATGTACTTGAAAGACAAGATTTATAAGACTTATCGACGTTAAGGTAGGTCTACGAAACTCCATATCAGGTTTTGTTCTCACAAGCTATTGTTACGTGCCTGACGTCACGTTCCTGACTATGCGGGCTTGGGTTACGGGATTGGATGAAATGAAACACTAATACCAGATTTCAGACTTTCTATTGCACTTAAGTTACAGCGTCCACGGAGTTAAGTTATCGGCGTTCCTCTCCAGCAGAGTCCGGCCGACTGACACAACTTTGCCGTTCACGCTGACTTAACTCACTTAACTGACTGCACTTCACTATTTCACTCACTTTTCTTCTTTTTCACTTCTTCCTTTTCTTCCGAATCGCTTTAGACTTAGAACTCAACTGCCGGCGGTGAGCCGCAGTTCCGCTTATATACCCCCGGTTCAGGTTCTGGAACATTCAATTTCGTTATTCTTTTTGATCGTCATGACTCCAGAACCTTCCAATAATTTCGTTACTCATTTTTATTTATTCTCCTTCTCGCTCTTTAATTTTTTTGTTTCTTTCACACAAATAGTTCCAGAAAGTTCCACAAAACTTCTATCAACTAAAAAACTACATGTTTACGGCGGGACTCGAACTCGGGGTCTCTGTGGTGTAATCCACACGCCTTACCGATTACACCAACTCGTGTTGACAATTCACGACGAAATTTACAATCTCTAGGCAACGTTTGACAACCATCCATTGACGTCATGATGTCAAAGAGTTTGAACCGCTTTTCCGTCACACTGCCCCCCTCTTAGATTCGCTCGTCCCGAGCATCGTTGCTGCCGTAATACCTCGCCAACCTGTCTATATGGACAACTTTCAAAGGGCTCCTTGAAGTCTTCCGAATTCTATAAGTAATGTCATTGATCTTCGTGACTATCTCATAAGGACCTTCCCAACTCGGTTGCAGCTTCGGAGATTTTCCCTTCCTTCTGACTGGATTATGAAGCCAGACCAATGACCCCTCTTCAAACCCAACAGAATTGGCTCGTCGATCATAGCGCGTCTTTGCGCGATCACTAGCTTGAAGACCGGCCTCCCTGATCTGCTCATAAATGTCCAACATTTTTGCCCTTAACTCGCTTATGTAATCGCTAAACTCGGTGCGAGAGTCGCCAGGTGGACAGCCCGATACAAGATCTGCCGGTAATCTCAATTCCCTTCCAAAATTTGCAAATGCAGGCGTCTTTGCGGTACTTTCATGTACAGCAGTCCGATAGGCAAGCAAGAAGAGAGGTATGTAAGTGTCCCAATCTCTCTGATGGCTGTCAACCACCTTTGCTAAGTGTCGCTCCAATGTTTGGTTGAAGCGTTCGACCATTCCATCTGACTGTGGATGATAGGGGGTCGTTCGAGTCTTATGGATTCCCAAAAGTTTACAAGTTTCCTGAAAAACTTGGGATTCAAAGTTCCGTCCTTGATCACTGTGCATCTCCAAGGGTACTCCAAATCGGGTGAATACTTCGTTTACCAACTTCGTCGCTACAGTTACTGCCTCTTGATTCGGTATGGCAAAGACCTCCGGCCATTTTGTAAAATAATCCATAACCACTAAAACGTAGCGATTGCCCGAATCAGTGATTGGAAATGGTCCAGCGATGTCTAAGGCTATTCTCTCCCAAGGCATACCAACATTGTAGATTTTCATCGCCCCCCTGCTCCTTGTTTGTGGACCCTTGACAGCTGCACAACTAGTGCATTTCCGGCACCAATCTTCGACGTCATATTTGCAATGCAACCAATAAAACCTCTCCTTGATCTTCACCAAAGTCCTCCTAATTCCCAAATGTCCTCCAGAAGATCCATCATGGAACGCTTTTAATACATCCCTTATTTTTGAACGAGGCACCACCAATTGCAAATGCTCGTCCTTGCCGTTTGTTGATTCCCATTTCCTGCACAGAAGTCCGTTATGCAGCGTAAGGCTTTTCCACTGTGCCCATAAACCTTTCGTTACCGCGCTATATTGGGCGACGTCACTCCAACTTGGCTTGTTACCACTTCGTAGCCACTCCAGTATTGGTTTAATATCTGCATCTCTTTCCTGTTCTAATTTCATCACATCATTTCCCCATGCCTCGTCAACAGTATCAGTCCTTATCACCTTAAGAAAAGCAGTTTCCTTCTTAGCACAATGTTTGCAATCTTCCACGCATGGGCGTCTCGATAATGCATCTGCGTTGCCATGAATTCTTCCGCCGCGATGTTCGATTTCAAAGTCAAATTCCTGAAGTTGTTCCAGCCATCTGGCTACTTGGCCTTCGGGATCCTTAAACTGAAGCAGCCATTTCAAAGCAGCGTGATCAGTTCTGATCAAAAATTTCCGTCCCAGTAAATACTTCTTGAAATGGTGCAGGGTTTTGACTACGGCCAGCAATTCCCTCCTGGTCACGCAATAATTCCTCTCTGGCTTGGATAGTGACTTGCTGAAGTAAGCAATAACCTTCTCCTGCTCACCATCGCGTTGTGAAAGGACACCTCCTATTCCAATATTGCTGGCATCCGTATCAACTACGAAGATTCCTTTCGCGCTGGGATATCCGAGAATTGGTGTGTTACAAAGCCGTTCTTTTAGTTCTCGAAAGGCTTGCTCACAATCCTCGTCCCAAACAAAGGCACGTTTATCCTCTGTCAATCGATGCAATGGCTTGGCAATGTCCGAGAATCCTTTCACAAACCGCCGATAATACGAGCACAATCCAAGAAATGCCCGAACTTGCGTTTTGTCTTTAGGTGTTGGCCATTCCTTGACAGCGACAGTCTTGGCTGGATCAGTCTCAATTCCTCTCTCAGAAATAACATGTCCTAGGTAATTCACTTCGCGCTTGAAGAAAGAGCATTTCTTTGGACTCAACTTTAAATTTGCTCCACGCAGCTTGTCGAGTACCTTTTCCAATTTCCTTAGATGATCGTCAAAATCCCGTCCAACAATGATGATGTCATCGAGGTAAACTAGGCAGGTTTCGCCCAGCAGTCCCGCCAGCACCTGTTCCATCAAACGCTCAAAAGTTGCCGGTGCATTGCATAATCCAAATGGCATCACCTTAAATTGCCAGAGTCCCTTCCCAGTTGAGAATGCGGTCTTTTCCTTGTCCTTGGGATCCAAATCCACCTGCCAATAGCCGCTTTTCAGATCGAGCGTTGAAAACCATTTCATGCCACTCAATGTGTCAAGTGTGTCATCGATTCTTGGTAACGGGTAGCTATCCTTCTTGGTTACATCATTCAATCGTCGATAGTCTACGCAAAACCTCGTTGAACCATCTTTCTTCTTGACAAGCACGACAGGTGAACACCAAGGGCTAGAAGAGGGCTCTATTACGTCATTTTTCCTCATATCGTCAATCATTTCTTCAACCTCTTTCTCACGAGCGAATGGTATGCGTCTGGGCCTTTGACGAATTGGCATTGTATCACCTGTGTTTATTTTATGCTTCACCAAACCAGTTCGGCCAATATCACCATCGCTTCTTGAAAACACATCAGAGAATCGAAGAAGTAAATTTCTAGCTTTCATAGTCTCCACTTTTGTCAGACTTTTGTTTTCGTCTAAGATTTTCGTTACAAAGTCAATTCCCGTACTGTCCTTCTTCACAAGATTCTCCGAGCATTTTCTTATCCAGGCCACTTCTTCCAATACGCCCACAGGCTCTCCTTCTTCAATCGTAATTTTTGAATCACTGAAGTTGAATACCGGAATGCGGTTGACATCAGATGACCCCACGACAGTTCTTGCCGGTAGCCATGAGCTTACGTGTTCCGATTTATCAATCACAGCGCACCTTCGAGGTAAACTTCCTTCCTTCCTCCTAGGTAATGCGATTGGTACGAGAGTCTGTGATTTTGGTGCAAGAACAGTTCTTCTTAAACAGCAAACTTTTCCCAGGGTTCCACCCTTCATCGGAATTTCCTCAGTTCCACATAGTAAAACTCCAGATTTTAAGTCGATGTTACACTGGTGCCCTTGCAGGAAGTCAAGTCCCAGGATGCAGTCATCCAGAATTTTGGCCACAATAACCTCATGTCGATAAACACGTTCCCCAATTTTGATTGTTACATGCAGTTTTCCACTTATCGGTATGCACTGGCCGGTAGCTGATTTCATTTGTAGGCCAACAATTGGTTTAAGGTGTTTCCTGATGTTTTGCTCGAGCAGCCGAACATTTATCACCGTCCTTGAAGCTCCAGTATCTAATGTTAGCTGACTGTTTTTCCCATTTACTTGACCGTCTATCACCAGAGTATTTCCATCGTTGGTTTGCTTGATGTAGATTGTTGGGGTTGTTCCACTACCAGCCAGCGCCCACCCCGCAGCCCTGGCTGGATTTAAGTTTCCCTGCTGGTCAGAAGTTGAGACCGCCGCGTCTTGGCGGTTCATCTTCTTCGGGCAGTCGCTCCGTATGTGCCCACGCTCTCCACATCCATAGCACATGAAGTTCCGACGGCGTGGAGGTACCTGCTCCGTTGTCGTCATTTCCCGCAGACGTAAGGTACGGGAGTTACCACGCACGGCTTCCACTTCCAATGCATGGGCCATAGCTTCTTTCATGTTCTTGTGATGGCCCAGATGAACAGCGGCTCGTACTTCGGGGTCCCGAATACCGTCAATGAACGCTTGGAGAAGCGTGCCTTCAATCATTGACGGAGTCGACCGGAAAGCTCGACGCACAAGTTTCTCGATTTCCACGGACCATTGCTGTAGGCCCTCATTAGCACGCTGAGTACGCTCTTTTAATTGCGCTCTGTACACGTGCTCGAGGTGGCTGTCTCCAAAATGTGCCTCAAGTGCGTCGAGGAGGGCACTAAAGCTGAGATCCCCACTTGCGCCGATAGCTTCCAGCACTGAGAGCGCTTGATCACGGAGGGCCAGGGTAAGGGCTGACTGTGCTTCCTTCTGAGTCCAACCATAAGCCTCCATAAGTGTCTCAAACTGTAGCTTGAACGCGGTCCAGGATGTTGTTCCGTCGTAATGGGGAATCTTAAGCCCTTTCGTTGCACTTGAAGCCGCATTTGGGGCTTCAAAAACGGCTGCAAGACGGCTTCGGCTCTTCAAAGGGCTTGGGCTTGTCACTTCCTGCTTGATTTTGGAGATCTCTTCTTCCACTCTCTCCTCTATCGCCTTGACGCGATGTTCCAACTTGCCTAACCCTTCCTCCACTTCTTGTACCCGTTCGACAGCCTTTTGCAGTCCCTTCGTGAAATCCTTATGCATGTCTTCCAAGCGACGCGCTTGCTTCTCTTGGCGGCGAGCTTGATCCTCTTTCAGCTCCCGTAGCTGCTCCGCCTGACAGCGTGCATGCTCCTCTTGGCGACGAGCTTGATCTTCTTTCAGCTCCCGTAGCTGTTCTTCTTGGCGGCGCGCTTGCTCTACCATCATTTGCTGCAGCTGTAGCAGTAGATCCACCTGCACAGGCTTGGCTTCTGCATCGCTGGTTTGAGCTGCAGCACTCTCTTCCCTCACACGCTGCGCTTCTGCCATTGCACGGGTACTCACTCCTCTTACGTCCTGCGGCACTAGCGGCATTTTTCTCCAATCCCACTTCTGACACCAAATGTTACGTGCCTGACGTCACGTTCCTGACTATGCGGGCTTGGGTTACGGGATTGGATGAAATGAAACACTAATACCAGATTTCAGACTTTCTATTGCACTTAAGTTACAGCGTCCACGGAGTTAAGTTATCGGCGTTCCTCTCCAGCAGAGTCCGGCCGACTGACACAACTTTGCCGTTCACGCTGACTTAACTCACTTAACTGACTGCACTTCACTATTTCACTCACTTTTCTTCTTTTTCACTTCTTCCTTTTCTTCCGAATCGCTTTAGACTTAGAACTCAACTGCCGGCGGTGAGCCGCAGTTCCGCTTATATACCCCCGGTTCAGGTTCTGGAACATTCAATTTCGTTATTCTTTTTGATCGTCATGACTCCAGAACCTTCCAATAATTTCGTTACTCATTTTTATTTATTCTCCTTCTCGCTCTTTAATTTTTTTGTTTCTTTCACACAAATAGTTCCAGAAAGTTCCACAAAACTTCTATCAACTAAAAAACTACATGTTTACGGCGGGACTCGAACTCGGGGTCTCTGTGGTGTAATCCACACGCCTTACCGATTACACCAACTCGTGTTGACAATTCACGACGAAATTTACAATCTCTAGGCAACGTTTGACAACCATCCATTGACGTCATGATGTCAAAGAGTTTGAACCACTTTTCCGTCACACTATGTAAGCTTGCACACGCTTGCGCATAGGTAAAGATAAGAATATCGTAAGTAAGAAGGCGATAATATAACTAGACTGTTGCAGCTCTGTTTAATATGTATTCATTAAATTATAGACCTGCAATTGGAAATCCATCCAATCATCATGAACTGAAAAATATGAAGGAAAATCTTTTATTAAATAATAATAACCAAGAATTCATTGAAATAAGTTTAAGATTACAAAGAGTAGTAGTAAAGAAACATACCTTGAAAAAAAAATAGGTATAAATACACCTACACCATTTCAGAATCAAAATTATAAGCATAAAATTACAACAGTAAACATATGAAGTGAAACTTGGTTAATTAAGTATTTGATTGTTTAGCGCAATTGGAAATTAATTGAGCAAGTGTCGACCTAGTTCAATTGATTGGTTAAAGCATTATTTGTATAAGCTTATCGGGACATAAAAACTTGAGGAAACAACTGTTTAAGCACTGCTGGGGTTAATGAACTCGCGACCAATACTTAATTTTATTAGGAACTAGCTTTTGCTCGCGACTTTGTTCGCGTGGAATGGTGACTTCCTGTAGATTTTTGGTTAAACAAATCTCCTATGTCCTTCTCTAGTTCCAAACTATGTCTGTACCAAATTTCACAAAAATAGAAGTAAAAGACAGACAGACGGACAGTGTTACTTTCGCATTTATAAGATTAGTTCGGATTTATTCTTAACAATATTATTAATGTTTGTCTAATGATATGGTGAAGAGTGAAGGAAATACAAACTGCTATAAATTGAGAAATGTGATCATATTTACTGGTTCAATTTATTCAATAAGAACATTGAAATCACTCAAAGAAGCCAGCTGTTCCATGCATTTCGGTCTGGCTGCTATTTTTAAGGCAATCCAAATGAACTATATATTTCTCAATACCGCAACTGTAGCGTAAATAGATATAAGTCGGTACTAATACCTAGATATGCCACAGATAGTACAGACTAAACATTATATCTAAGCGAAGTGCTACCGAAAGTGTGTATCGAAGCGCAGATTCAGAACTCTTAAAATGTTTACAGATACTTTCGTTGCGAGAGTCGAATGTAAGTTGTATTGAGCTGGATATGATTTTCGAATCGATTCGGTATGAAACCAAAGATCTATTTGCTGGATGCCCCTATTCATAATTGGACTTTATCAAGTATTATTTCTATGCGAAAGGGACATTCGTCATCTCATCTGTACCATATGCCTCAAAAAACCTAAGCAGGTGCAACGTCAATGACATTGACAGGTTTTTGGCCGCCTATTAGATGTCATTGTCATGATTGACATCATCATCAGCCGTTATAAATTCACTGCTGAACAAAGGCTTCGCTATTAGTGACACCAATAAATACATGGATTCCGCCGCCCGTCCTAGGGTAGCTGGTAGTAATTTTAGGACCAACTCGGACTGTGCTGATAAAAAATCTACCGATTTTTTTGTGGATAAGGCTTATCTCAAGAGACAAGTCAAACTCACCAAGTATTATGATAACTGTAGATAGCGTAATACTAAATTTAAACTATACTAATATAATAAAGAGGTAAAATTTGTAAGTTTGTATGTAGGGCGTAATCTTTGGAACCGCTGTTCGGATTGCCAAAATTCTTGCACTGGTAGGTAGCTACAATGTTCCTGAGTGTTATAGGCTATAAAACATCACGCTACGATCAAATGAAGCCGAGCAGCGGGTGAAACCGCGCGAGAGTAGCTTTATTCAAAATAAATAGAGACTCACTTGAATTAGAATTGGAGCTGGTAGTAGCAGGTTTTCCGCCGAGCAGTGTGGCTTCCCTCTCCCTCTCAGCTCGCTCCCTCGCCTCTCGTTCCATATTCAGCGACCGAAAGCTACCGTACACAATCAGCAGCATCGAGATGAGACACGCCGATACCCTACAAACATAACAATATTCAAATACAAACAATAACGGTACCACAACAACGAACAATAGTTTTAATGACATTTTTACTGTAAATCTTTTGTTTCCGCGTTTTGCCTTTTGTGTAGCTTAGGGTTTTAGGCCCGCTATATTCGTGCTGTCTGTTATCGAATGTTGATTTTATGTTTGTTTATATTAAACATACATAATTATGCATATTGGAGGGTTCGTTATCGGTAAAAAGCACAAGATACCGATTTCCCCGGTATATTTTATGAGTATGGATAAGTATTCGTCGTATATTTAAATAACCAGATCAGGCTCTAACTTGAGGTGATCAGCTAAAATAACATTACTTTAAATGTTCTTACACATTAATCTAGGTCATGATCGACGTCTGCCAATTTTCTTCGCGTGAAAGTCTTTTAAACATCCGATGAACCATAGGTTGTAGATACATCCGCACAAACCGTAGTCATTTATTAAAACGGCCATAATATCGCAGAATAACTAAGTAAACAAATAACTAACAAAAATCGTAATACTTCGATGGAAGCGATATAAAAGATTGGAACTATTACCTAGATTGAATAAATGCGTATTTCATAACATAATCGATACATTAGGAGTTAAGGGTTAGCGTTATTGCATCGTTATGCACACGGAATAATAGACAACTGAACTCAGTCTAGCGGGGTCACGTCACGACGCCGCAACGCAATCGGAAATCCGATTTACAATTAAAATTGCACCAAGCACTGACTTACAATTTTCGATACAACACTTTATAAAAGACGATTAGTTTTCATTTTACTAGATAGATGTATGAAATCGATTTGCAATGCAATACTCTAACTTGAATTAATGACTTATGGTGCAAGTAGTGACGGATACAACCCGTTTCCTTTGCGACATGTGACCCAATAAAATACAGCTAGATTCTGCGTGTATCACATGGCATTCTCAGAAAATAGTTTATAGTTCTGTTCTTGCTTGAATGACAGACCTTTACGTTATTTTCGTCATTTTGAGTTAAAGGAATTAAAATTATCCTATCATTTTGGTAATATAATTTTAAATTCTATAAAAAATTACGTAATTAGACTGGAAAATAACCAATAAACTACAATGACAGATAGATAATGTAGGTAAACCACGAAGTGACCTATCGACCCGCGCCTAATTAAATGAAGCGCTTTCCAGCGGCGCGGGGTATCTCTCTAATGAAATGTAATATCTTGCCCAGGACCCCTCTAATTAACAACATGCACTCAACGTCAACCGCACTGAGGACATTCTGACTTATTTTATAAGGTTCTGTTTCAATTAGAAGCACGCTTTACATCCCCATTTTAATCCTCGTTTCATTATATTATCATGAGGTCAATACGGGTAACATAACATTGAATAGAGACTTTTATCTTCAATGCGTCTTGACAATCTCAAGCGCGTATTTACCGCACTTTCCAATCTCCCTATGACCATGGATTTTGCGCCTAGTGCGAAAAACAAAAACTGCAAACAATAAAGGCGCAACAGCCGGCCCGTACAATCGGTTTTTACTTCAATAATGGTTGTCCGCGTAAATAAAGAATCATTACGCAACGGACTTGTCATTGGTGTTTTTGTAATGATACTTTCATGGCGAATTATACAAAGTGATTCCGCAATACGTGTCTGCGACTGTCGCCGCACATCGAGGAGTTCCACGGCTCCACCTCGCACCACAACGCTTGTGTTTATTCTAACTACATTATACGTTCTTTTTCCCAGAGAGGTTCTAATGTTTTTATAATAACAAAAACTTACAAGAACCTTACAGAATACTCGGTTCTCATAGCAGTTATATCTAGTGCAGCTGATCTCGGAAATTCCTGGTTCTGGTGACGGCACATTAGTAAACAAACACTTGAGTTTTTTTAACGCCTTCTTAAGTACCTACCTATCAAAAACATTGAAGTGTTTGCCTTATAGCTCAAACACGCGATGATTAAAAATAAATTGTTTGACTTGCGATATTAAAGTATTGGTTGGCATTAGTGGTTCATAGCTTAAAGATAAAATTATTTACTTACTTGGAGGAGTCCATGATTGAGTAAGCCCACTTATACTCCTGGTATTCCATATTAGCTCCGACCTGCGCCATTCTTCACGTTATACCACACAAATCAACGGCTCAGATGTGGTGGTAGTACTCAGGTTGATCACGTCTTGGGGCTCTTTAACAATGCATAACACTTATTAGCACTTTCTACACAACATAAAAACGCACAGCGCAAAAAGTAAGTGTATACAGTACACATTCAATCAACATGAAAATAAATAAATTGGAATAACGTTTTCAATTTTATAAATAAAATATAAATTATAGAATACCACTGGCAGTTTGTAAAAAAAAAAAACTGTAAATGGAATACCGGCCGGTTTTACGATTCAAATTTACTTTTTTGGCAAATTGAATAGACACCGTGCGCCTCTGATGAGTCTGATGCATCTACAATAATGTTTGTGAGCACGTTAGATGGACGACGGTAGATATTTAACGGCGAACGATATTTGAATACTACAGCAACAGACCGCAATTTATCTCATAACAAGGCTATGGAACGTGATCTTTGAGTTGTATAACAATAATAATAACATACTCAAACATTTGTGGGAGAATTACCGTATGTGAAGACGCGGATACAAACTTCGACTACAAATAAATACAAGAATGAACCTCAGCTTGAAGTGACCGGACGATACGGTAGAGCATATTACTGCTTAATATTCATAAAGAGTTATCAATGTTTGATAATATTAAACCGGTTTGCTTCAAGTCTTATTTCGGGCGATTACATTAAATTAGTAATTCTAAACCTAAAACAAACAAAAATCACTTGCACATTAAATTGAAGTAGACTTTCGCCAATTTTAAACTTCACCTAAAGTAAAACTTGGTTAATGGGCCTTTAAAATAATTTGTATTCTAGATAGCAATCGGATTTGCGCTTTTAGGCTGTGGTCTAGAAACACGAATCAATGCATTGGGGATTAATAACAAGAAAAATTTATTGTGCTGGTGTTTGTTGTACGTAAATTATCAAGCGACTCTTCCCTTTTGGGCTTTCTGATTCACCACATTCCAACTTCTGTCCTATGTTGGGGTAAATTACTAGTCTCGCGTATGACCAATTTTACTGTTCTATTATTACAAGTTAAAAGGTCTATGAAAATTAATACTGAAGTTTTGAAAGGTCATATGTTATGTGGCAATTTTGTAAAAAAGAACAATAAAAAATTAGATAGCAGGTAGATCTACACACATCACAATACCAATGTGCTCACTGCTGAGCAAAGGCCTTTACACGATTACTTAACGCGGATTGGCGATTTGGAACAAATAAATTTTAATTTTATAATAAAATTGAATATCTATTTAAACAAAAATGACACAATTAAAAATAGATTGACCTGCTAGCTACTAGATACATGTTTGGGAGTAGATACTTATAATTTGTCTCACACAAAATTATCTAACAAACATAAGTATGTTTATTTAGTAAGCCATAAATACTAAATACAAACTGTTTATAAAAGAGAATAGGATTTTTTATAAGTACATACCATTCATTTTGTCCATCAACTCACAACCTAGTTTTCCAACAATTTTAGAGCATAATAATAATAATATGTTCTGATACTAGTTGTATTAGTATGAATGTGTTTTAATTTATCTATATTTAATTTTTTTTAAAGCTCACCCATATTATAATGAATACTTGTCTGTTTTTAATTTATACTGGCTACAGAAAATCTACATTACATTTTGAAAAAAAAGTTACTCCTGTTCAAATTATTTCTCACACCAATCAGGATAATTATGCAACATTAAAGATGCAGTGTATCAGTAAATACAATCAATTTTTTTTTTAAAAGAATGACTATACTTTTTTTTGTTCCTATAAACCATCTAATACCATATATACCTAACAAATGTAATATTTATGTGTGAAAATTCTACAAAGGCACTGTAAAAGTTTATTCCAGTTATTAAAGACACAAATTTATAAATCACTATAGAGTTATATATAAAGTTTTACCTGTTTTATATTTATAGCATTCTGCTAGTTTACTAGTGTTATGAATGCTAGTGTTTTTCAATAAGTATGAATATTTTTTTAATCTTTTATGTATAAACTCCTGATCAGATATGAATGAAATGTTGCAAGAGATTATAGTTTGAAATAACACATTATTACACATAAATCTGGTACTATGGTAAAAGACTGGTAGAAGTTCGTGCAGGATAAAGATTTCTCTAATTTTAACCTCTTGTCTTGTATATGCGACACAATAGAAAACACTGTTTACCCCTGATATATCTGTGCTCTGACATATCAGGGGTAAACAGTCATAGTTTATTATTTTAGTTTTTGTTCTTGATACCCCTCATGAAACAAATACTTCATGTGCTAGGTTGTAGGCAGTATATTTTTTAATAATATTTTTTTTTAACTTTACTTCAGTGAAATTATCTGTTATAATGTTTGAGTATATCAATATTTGTTCTCAAAGTAAACTGGAGTGGTAAAGTTGTCTTGAACAAATAAAAAAAAAACAAATATTGAATTGTGAAAGCCTATTTGCTAAATAAATAAAATTGTTCAGTTTGATAAACTTGTTGTTCTTATTTAAGCAGTGTTTTCAACATAAAAAACTTATTATATGCACATCCATTTACAAAGTATTTTTTTATATTTTCACTAGTATTACAAGTTTTTTTTATAAACAAAAACATAATTACTATGGCAATATTATACAGGAGGATATTAAAATAGTAAGAAATGGATTAGGAATCTGATTCTGATTGTATGCTTCGAAAAGTTTACAATTATAAAAAAGCTTCCCTGTAAAATTAGCGAGTTTTGTATGTAGGTCATTTTAAATACATAAAACAACACTAGAGCAATAAAAAATACAAAACAAAATATATAAATAACAAAACTTTAGTTACATACCGTCGTAGTAATTATTAAATAACGGACTAGAAAAGTTTCTTCAAAATTTAAGAATATAATAAAAAAGAGCGAGCTCGAAATAAGTAGAGCACGAAAATAATGTACACAATAAAGTGAAAGGGTACCAAAATGAAATGTCTCATTGTATTGTAAGTATAACAGCAAATTACAATCAGCGCAAGGAAGTGATTAAAACATTCGTACACTAATATTGTTTGGCTTATTAATATCACATTACAACTATCGGGAAGCTCTAAAATACAAATATCCACAAGAGTCTAGTTAGAAGAAATTAAAATCACTCACCAATCCTGGAGACTGCTCCAATACAGATTTGATTGTCAGCCCCGGGATCTCATGCTTACAAAATAATCGTATCCCTATCAACAATCAAATTACATTAGGAATTAATTGATTTTCACACAATTTATTTACGACAATACGACACCCCTACGCTCGATCGACAGCCATTCTGACCATAGACTACCAGAGGAGACTAGAGAGAGACTAAATACACATATATTTTATTACTTTGAAGAGCTTTGAAGTAGGTATGTAGTGTAATATTTTTGTTATTAAAAAACGGTACTCATGTAACCTTAACTATTTACTTTGTTGAGAAATTTTGAATTACAAAATGAAGTAACTAAAAAAAGACAAACGAATTGAAAACCTAATTATAGTGTTTTCTGCGCTATGGTTAACCTAGTAGAAACAATTTATGTCAAAGTCACGAAATATATACATACGAGAGGTTTAAAATTTCTATGTTACTCTAAATTTATTGAATACTAGAAAATGAAGTTATCTCTTGTGCTATTTCGTCGTAATCGCTTACCAAATGGACATTTGTTTCGAGGAAAAGATCGATTAGTAAAAAAAGTTGAACCAAAACATCTTAGGCAAATTCAAGATGACTTTGCCGTAGAAGAAAAAAATATGTTTTATTTACGGTTTCCATACCTCTCAGAAGTAAGTACCTATTTAAGTCCTAGATGAGAAATATAATCAATACATAAACTACAAATACCGGTCCACAGAATAAGACTTATACTCGTCTCAGTAGTTACTTTAACCTGAAAGTAAGATTCTTGTAAACATACAGAGGACATAATAATAATATGTCAATTTAATTACCTGACTTAAAATATAATCTACAATTGCAGGTCCATTGGTAAGAAAATACATAGTTCTTCTAGAAACTACCTATCTAACCACACCTATAGCAATATTATTTTAAAATCTAAATAGCAATTGGGTATCTAATGAGCATTCTTATTGTTGTTATTTTTTTTCAGGCTGAAAGCAGTGGGCATGCTAAAGCCCTTGGAAAACCAGAAATGAGGAAGGAGAAACTGTTAGATAATCAGAGACGGATATTTAAACAAGATGTTACCCTATATGAACGACTGCAACATCTGCGGGTGAAGGAATCTTGGGAGTAATCCATAAAGAAATAGTTTAGTGTAAATATGTTAAATAAGGTAGTAGAAGATCTAAATAAAATGTGTTAAAATAGTCTTGTTTCTTTTAATATCACAATCAATAATAAAGCCATCATAGGTTTGTCCCCTATGCATGTGTTGTTACTATATACAGCCTAATCACAAAAAATAAAGATTTTAAATCAGTGATTTCCACACCTTTGTACTGTATATGTTATGCCCTTACTGTGGTTATGCCAGTAAAGAATTCTTGGATACTAGGAGTGTGTTGTATTTACATTTTGAATGCTGAATGTCAATATTCTCAGGTTCTTTTATAAGCTTTTAAGATATGCATATCATATCTAGTACACAAGTTATAGTTAGTGACTATGTAAGGTGTATGCGTAGATGCGAAATAAAAGTAGCAATCTTAATAAACATGTTTTATTTTTCTAAATAAATATGAAGTATGTACATATATATGTAAACAACAATTTAAAATATCACATCAATGTTTATTGACAAAATAAGAAGCAACTAAAATATACATTTTGCCATACTAATTTAGATTTAATAAAAGGCCAATAGGTAGTTAATGTATTCCTTATGTTGGTATATTTTTGTTTCAGATTTAACAAGTGTGTAACATACAGTGTAGACTTATTTTCGCTCGCAAAAATAATTTTATTAGTGCCACTACTACTTGTCCTGGTGAGATACAAGTATACAACACTGTCATCGATTGATGTAGGTATTTAAAAGAGAGAAGTTCGGTTCGACGATAAAGTATCGCGACTATACGGCTCTTACTCGGATGCAGCCGCAACTATGCAAAAGTTTATTGTGTTTATATAATTAAAATAGGTACTGCAATGGGCTTTGCCCAAGCTACTTAAGATCTATAGAAAATGCTTTCATTTCTGGAAAAGGTCGTACATGCAAGATTTTTAAATACGTTCAGTGCACTTTCATACTACATCCGATCTGAACCTGTAAAAATATCATCCGTCACAGTCGTAGAACTATTTCTATAGGTAGTTTACGCATTATATCGGTCATTCAACATCTGATTTCTCCTGAATTATGCTCTCTGGATCTGTATTTTCACGGTTTCGGATCAGGCATAGTGCGGAAGCGCTCTTTCATAATATATAAAACATAATATTTGTGTTTTGTTGTTATATATCTTAAATGCTAAAGTGAAAATAGATTTTGTACTTAATATTCATCCATTCATCTGTACTCTGTCCAATAAAATATTTAAGTACTCATGAGCTTAAAAAATCAACTTAAACGACACACGGTAATTTTTCCGATTGAATATCATCACGGTAAAATTAATAGGAAAAGGCAAGCAATAATACTAAATTACATAAATACAAATGTGTTTACATACAGACGTAAAACCATCTTAGGTACCTATACATGTAGTTATATACTACGGCGAAGCATAAAATGGCGCGTGGTTGGTCCCCTAAAATGTTCAATATGACAATAATATAAGGTGCAGATGCGTTAACATGAACGCAGGTTTATCGAGACCACAATTTAAATCTGTCTTAATTATAGTTCGTTCCATAATTAGAGACAACAATTTGACAACAGCAAATGTCAAACTACAAAATAATGTGGCCAGATTTTTTAACATAGTGATGGGCCCGAGTACGATGTTTAAAATAAAATACCGATACCGTTTTTTTATAAAATACCCTGAGCAAAATAAAACAACGTTGCGGTGATGTTTTTATAGTTTAGTGGAATTAATAATAATATTTTAAAATAAAAAATGCCAAATCCAAGACTGGCTAAAAGAAAAACATTATATTTGAGGAACCTATGCTGAAAGCCGAGCTGTTGGAGATTTCCCGGAAATAGAAGAGTAATTATGAACGTCGTGGACTGATGGCTGCTAAAAGGTGGGCACTAATTTACGGTTGCCTCCTTACCATTGTGATTTTAACCCGACTGAGTTAGTATGGGCACAGGAAGGTACCAGGGAAAGTAGCTAAAAATAATAAAGCTTTTAAAATGCACGAAGTCCAAAATTTAATTTCGGTCTTTCGGTCAATACCGGTCGCGGGACTTCACTATTTATGAATTGGAAAAAACATGCAACACTCGAAATGTCAAATCGTTGTCTCTAATTATGGAACGAACTATACAGTAAATAATCTCATTACAAACATAAATTCGAGTTTCTATCACTGATAATACTTAGTAAATTCGAAACGTATCAAACATCTAAGTGGATATCTATCAATGATTAATTTTTATATCACGTGTTTATAAAGTCCTTATTTGTTTTTTTATATTATGACTGGATGATGATCACATTTTGACACAGAAAGCAAAATAAACGCATAAGTACATACTACTAAAAGCGTAAATATAGTTATACCTACATAAATATTACATATTTTGATAATATTTGCCGGAACGTAACCTTCTAAGCAGTTATACCTATGAATAAGTTTCTTGACAACAGATTAAATACAACGATTTTAGCTAAGCTAACAGATAATGGAAATATTGACTAATTGCTCTTCGTCCACGCAAAAGGGTCGTCTTTGAGGTCCTTCTTGTAAAGAGTTTTGCCCTGGTGCACATACTCAGCATACTGAGAGACCACCGGGTCCCTCATACAGGAAGCCACAGCTATTACTTTGTCATTTTCATCAAAGAAGAAGATGACAAACTTCAGACCATCTACATCTCCTTCTATCTGAGTACTCGCTGGTCTTCCGCAACCAGCATATCGGATAGACTTTCCGAATAATACAGTCCAGAAGAACGGAACTGTCTTTAATGGAATTTCTCTCTTCAAAATGTTCAAGGCAGCAATACGACCATGATATTGAGCTAAGCCGATATGCCCGATGCTCAAATTTTTATTGGCATGAGCATACACGGGTGCACAAGCGATATCGCCACCCGCAAACACATTTTTGATGTTGGTTTCTAACTTATCATTGACGGTAACCGCACCATTTCCCTCCAATTTAATTCCGCTATCGCTCAAGAAACCTGTGTTGAATGTTGTTCCCACGCCTATTATCAAAATGTCAGCAGGAAGTGTGGTGCCATTGGCCAACTCTACAGACTTTATCACACCATTTTCACCATTACATTTGACCACAGTGGTATCAAACTGGAATTTGACGCCTTTACTTTCGAATAATTTTTGTAAACTACTTCCAATTTCGTTGCCGAATATTTGACCAAGTGGAGTAGTATCTTTGCCAACAACAGTCATCGACTTGGCTTTATCGTTGCAAGAGGACGCACTTTCTAATCCTATGAAGCTCAAACCCAACACAACAACATCCTTATCTTTGTTGGTTCCCAACGTGTTCAGAATATTAACTGAATCATCAAAGTTTCTAACTGTGAAGATGTTCTTTAAATCTATGCCAGGGACATCTGGTACACGTGGAGTGGAGCCAGTAGCCAAGTATAACGCATTGTAACGTAGCTTGTTTCCGTTGCTCAAGTGAACAATATGTTCCTCGGTATCGACTTTAGTAGCATCAACCCCTTTGATTACTTCTATACTAGCTTCATCGTAATATTGTTGAGACCGTGCTTGTAGTTTTTCTATATCTGTAACGGTACCGATCTTTGAGACTTTAATTCTGTCATAAGGGAGGTAGTTCTCTTTGGCTACCATTGTGATCCGTCCCTTAAATCCTTCGCTGCGTAGTGTTTCCGCGCAGGTGGCTCCGGACGGGCCGCCGCCCACGATCACCGCTACTGAACTGTCGCACTGGTTCGCTACGCCTATATCCTTAATACGTTTTTTGGACTTCAAATCGCTGCGCTTGGCCCTTACCTGAAAACGTAAAAGATATAATTAAATAAAAAGATATAGGTGGAAGGAGTAGGTATTAATCTGTCTCACTTCAATGTTTTGTTCCACCAATTATGGCTTTACCTAACCGAGGTCAGAATCTACATCCGGTGTGGGTAACAAAGCACGTGCACCTTGCATGGCTTACATACAAAACAATAATTTCAGTTAGTGCGAACAAACTGCCGACAACGTTTTTGTTTTGTTTTTTCAGTTCCCATTACTTAAAGGGTTATACATTAAAGGTGCGCTTAATTATTTCGTGTGTCTGGTGCCGATTAAGTAATTACTTTAGTAGTGACATTGAGTCACCATCCGGTATAATGTCAACCTATGTAATGTACAAAGCCAGCGTCTACGACTGTAAACTCAATAAATGAGTTGGTCAAGGTAACCCAAGGTCAGCTACTTCTTAGATCACGATTTCATTGCATACCTACGTACGGGCATGACAGTAGACTACGGAACAAATATTTACACGATCGGTCAACCTATAAGTAAGTAAGTAATAACTCAATAGCATCTTATTGCTATCCCCATAAAGATTATGTTACATAAATTATTTACTTAAACGTGTGAGTTTAAAGTGTGAGACTTGTAGCCACCTATAGGCAGATCTCCGAAAATTCGGTTAGACAGTATGCCAAAACATCAATCGCGCATTTCCATCTAAATTAGTAGCATCTACCACGGTATATTATTATGTAAACAAACTGACTTCACATTCACACTGAACAGTAGCCAAGTTAAATGAAATAAAATATAGATTTCAATAGTAGCTACGTCTAGTCTATTACAGATTCGACATAATATTGATACCCTAGGCCTAGGTAGTAATATCCTGGTTAAATAAGTTGTAAGAATTATAATAAATATACCCACATATCGAAGCCTACTTTGACCATGAAAATTCAATGCCTTTAAGATAGGTACCCACCTAATAATGTTTATGAGCCAATAATATAGGTACCTATATCTAACTGCCCATTATATTATACAGTTGTTACTAGAATATAGGAATATAAAATTATATCATTTATAAGTATTTTTATGATAGGCATTGTTTCCATAACCATAATAATGGAGTCGTAAAGGTGCATGCAGATTGTGGACGCATTAATATTTGAATAATTTTGCAAAATTTTGACAACTAAGTGTATTATGAATGTCTACACTAGCCGATTAAGTCGTATACATACATGCACACACAACGGTATGCAAGGTAGGTATTTACTTGAATAATGTACCTAATGCTCTAGATGTGTTATCTTAAATTAAACGTAAGCTGTACGCGGTCTGATAAAAATATGGTTACCGTAACCATAGCACAGAATGAGGTAAGCGCATTACTCACACAAGTTAGTCAGACTGACGGCCAAGCAGCCATGTTTGCATGTTTATTATGTATTTTGGATAATGAAGCAACCTCTTCAAAAATTATAAGGCAGGTATAGCGTCCCATTATAAAAATAATAACTGACGACATGTGGTCTAGAGCAGTCATCTTTATTAATAAGAAATACATTGCAATACTTCAAGGTCACGAATTACGACGCAATTCGGTAACTACGTTACCATTGAACTAGTTTTCGTTCTGTTAACGTAACAGTTACTTAACGTATAAGGTCGATTTTAAATATTTGTTACCTATACAGATCTATTCACATACCATATTGCGAATCTAAGTTCCTAAATTATTATTTAATGATACATATTAATATGTAAGTCTCTATAAAGATGTTTTAAATAAGGCATAGTCAACAACAACATTATTAAGTAGGTGTTACCAAAAACTCGTGAAATAGAAAAACTGTTCAAACAATAAGCGAAGAGCTATTAGTCACAATATATTTGACAATATGAGACCAAACTGATACCTACAATAACGACGTGTTTTCCTCGTAATTATTTTTCCGGGCTGAGACGAATTAGCTCATTGCATGACTTCAGTACGTAATTAGTTCAGCCACGACAATAAATAAAACTGCAATTTGCACACAGTTTGGACTGAGTGCTATCTATCTTGCAACGAATCTTTGTGATATATATATATATGAAGGTAATAAATATTTTAGCCATATCAACTTAGATGTCTACTAAACCATTGTAACCCTTTAATTTTTTTTAACCTGCTATTTAACTATAGATCAGTAAAATGCATTATTACTATGACTCTTATGGGACTATAAAGGCAAAATGTTTCAGTTGCAGACATCTTTTGTATGACGTCATGGTTAAAAATGTCTTGGGGTATTTCATTCATAGCTGCGCGCAACGCAAAAACTTCAATTCTAATTTCGAAGTTTCTAGCCCGCCATTGCATCTTCGATTTGAGAATTTTACTAGCAAATTAAATGCATCGCAGATAGTGTTTTCCTGTCTAAACACTTTATTTACATCAGTTTTGGCACGGAACACAAAAACGAAAAAGTTTAAAAATATATTTCTGTTGATTTCGGTTTAAAATACACTCTTTACTGCCAGAAAATTGCCAACAGTTTGTATCTAAACTGTTGAATACAGAGACTTGTGTTTTAATAGTGTTTCATGTTAAATGGTATTCTTGTGTGATGTTAATTATGAAGATCTTTAATGGAAGGCCAACAATACCTAATAAAAGTAGACCAGAAACTAAGAAATACTAATCTGAAAGACGGCGGATACCACTGATTGCCTGATTGGCTGACTGCCAAACACACGAATCAGACTATTAACGATACTTATCGCAAAGTTTTAGATTCATAAAGTTATCGTATCGTGTGCATGCAATACGTTATTAATACAATTGATACAATCAGTTTAATAATGGAAAATTCCCAAACCCGACTATTTTTGTAAGGTAAAAAGATTTCGTAGTTGGTGCAGATGTCTGGCTGTATAAGTATAGAGTGGTCGCTATCAAACAGATAATCTAACATCATAAAATATTTATCATCTGTGTTACTAAGTATTTGATAAAGCATACAGTTTACTAATTAATATTAACTCGAATTTGTCGAGTCATTTCCCACATCTAGGCGGAGGCTACATGTAGGTACTCGGTACACTGCATATCCTCTACATCGCAACGAGCTTGTCATTAAGGGATAAGCGAATTCCCAGCGAGCAACAAGTCGGAATATAAATGGCGGCGACGTGAACTCATTATGCATGCTACAGGCGTTTGTAGGAAAATCGATAACCAAGAGGATGAACTCAATGAACCACTTATAATAAGAAAATTTCTAAGTCAGGACTCATTGGTATTTTCACACCAAAACCGCACTACAAATTATCGGTGAAAATTCACCACGGTTCATGGATTCGATTTTGCAAAGATTTCAGGGATCTTTTTGTGTTGAAATAAAAATATTTGTATAACATAGGCCGCTAAATAAATTGAACCAGAATTTTTGTCAAATCATGCTCACATCAGTAATAATAATTTAAAAGCAAACATTAGGTAAGATGAACCATTAGCGTCGCGACTCTAAAAACTTAGTAAGGTTTCGGCCTGTACTTAAATGTACGTATTTTTATAATATGATTGTGCGTTTTATCATAACACACATGAACTTGTGATTTGGGATGAAGTATCAATATTACTATGGATATTAATTCCAATTTACGTAGTATGCCGTTGAAAAATACATGGCTATAATAGATTGATCACAAAAAGGTGTTCTGATTAACTTAGTGAAGAAAGAAGCCTGATTATGCCACGTAGGTATAACATTTTTGGGTAGGTTCAGACTTAGGTCCTTAGGCCTAATATGCATGTGTGGCACTGTAGTGTAGCACTGCGGAACCGGAAACACCGTTAATGGGAAAATAGCTTCACAGAGAGTAAGAGAGGACAATAGACGAATAGGGAAAGTCATTCACTCGGATTCTTGACGCCCTCCGAGACAAATGATGGAATTTCACGAATGAGTATTTTAATTAAAGGTAGGAATTTTTCCATTCTCCTCGCAATCAATTTCCAAGAAAACTCATTTTTGTCCTTCGATTCTGAATATGGGGCCGCACCTACATTAGCTGGCCGATTAAATTAAGTATTACAATAGAAAACCTATAAGTTTACTTGCCGCGATCGCCCCACAATTCCCATACCGGTACAGTTTAAAAAAGTAAAGCATGAATAAGAAATCCATGTCCACATTTTGCAAATATTTGCACTACCTACGATTAGCTCCGGACTGTATAGATAAGGATAAGATCATCAGTTATGGACTTATTCAGGGTCAAAGATAACCAATAATAGTTGGTTTTAAGTGATTGCACAAATACACACAAACCTCTTTATTTATGGTGCTTAAGAAAGTAGGTAAGTAATTGCAAAAAAACGTATGATAAGGATAACAAGCAGAACAATAGTAGCACGTTTGTTGTGCGGATAACAATTAATTAGCAGTTGGACAGATCGGGAGTTTCATCATCAGCCTATAAATGCACTCTGCTGAGCAAAGGGCTCTTCTCACACGGGGAAGGTTTGAACAATAACTACCACGCTTGCTTAAGGCGGATTGGCGATTAAAAACGTATAATTAGAAATATTTTCTAAGTCCAGGTTTCCTCCCGATATTTTCCTTCACCGTATTGTCATATCATAGGAAATCACGATATCACGATATCATAGGAAAATACATATAAATTGGAAAAGGCTCATAGCACCCGCACTCTCATGCATGTGAGGCGGGTACCATGACCTCCGGGCCACCACGCTAGGAAGATTAAGAATAGAACAAGTGTATGCATAATGAGATGGAGAAGAGAGAGAAGAAAATGGAGATTATGAGCAGGTACATATTATTATCCTACTTAATATTATAAATGTGAAAGTCTGTGATTTTTTGTGAGGGGAAAAACATCAAATAGCTTAATTATTATGTTTTCGGTTTACTCACCTCACCATGCTAGAGGCCCATATGCATGAGCAGCATTCCGCGACACGCGACGCGGCGACTGTCGCGCTGCTACTCTGAGTAGGTGAGTAGGTAGCAGCGCGACAGTCATTACGTGAGTAAGCCGAAAACATGATAATTAATTTAGAATGTCTCACGAAAGTTATAATAAAAATATTAAATAGCTTCTCTTGCCCAGAGTTAGGCGAGCGGGAGTGTCAGACTCGTACTGATTAATGAACACCCCGTTTCTTCTCTTACTCTATGCCGGAGAGAATGTTGAATGTTTGTTATTCTTTCACGCAAAAACGGCTGGACCGATTTGGATGCCGAAGGCTATAGGCTATAAAACATCAAACTACGATCTTTAGCGACAGAGCTCTACGAAATCGCACGAGACTAGCTACTAATAGAGAAATTTTGTATCAGCGGTAGCGTGTCAAACTGTCATGCCAAGTTCAAGAAAATTAAGTATTAGAAGAATACAAATAATGGAATTAAATATGGATTTTGAAGATTTATTCATTTTATGCTTTATGTCCGTAATATTAGATACCTACTTAAAACGATGTAACCGATGTTTTGTATTATTGATAGAAATTCGTTCCAAAATATTGGAAGTCACACGTGTTTATCATGAAATGGTAGAAGCAAGCTTGTAATACTTATTTTTTTTCCTCACGTTGTCATGTAGGTAGGGGAAACAATAATTGTTTATTGATCACGCGACCCGGCCTGACCTCTATTCCGCTCCGCTCGGGCGGCAACCTCCACCTAACTTTGGAGGGCCGGTGACCACGACATCTGCGAGACATAGGTCGCTCCATCTGTTTTTCTTATTATATTTTTTTAATAAAGGCATGGTACAATCTTACTGGTTTTTAATTCTAGAACGATGGTTAGAGTATTTAGATGATAACTAATGTTCGCCATATTATTTCTTTTGTATTCGGTATAATAATGATGATTTCCCAGGGATATACAGATTTGCGTAAGTATTATATCCGAAACAAAGGTATTGTACTATGTTCGTCGTATACATTATAACTTTTACAAGACGGAGACGGGCGACCTGTTGCACATCAGCTATTGTTGATTGTTAATGTATTTCTTACCTTGACTTCACCCTTTTCCGTTACAGTAACTTGGTAGCAGGGCAGAGAATCGAAGCCAGGGAAATCTTCAATATCTCCAGTTTTTATGTTGAAACAGGCTCCGTGCCATGGACAGCGAATTCTTCCGTCTCCTAAGGCGCCAGACACGAGGGGAGCGCCGTAATGTGTACACGTGGTACCTACTGCGCTGAATTCACCCTTTTGCTTCACAAGCAATACTCTCCCTTCTTCCCCAATGTCGAAGACTTTCATTTCATTTTCTTTCATGTCATTCTCATTACAGACAATGGACTCGACGTAATTGGCGCTGGACTCCATGCGTGATATTGTACCGCCTAATAAGGAGGAACAAAAAAGGTCTTTTCAGAAAAATAATATAGTTTTAAGTGCTTCATGATGAGGTGGTTTCACCTGTATCATTGGCATCTAGCCATGTAGAGGTAGAGGTCACACATGAATTTTAGTCAGGGTCAACGAAATTTGCGACTTGTTGCCATAACAACAAACAACCAACACTTTAGATACCAAATATTAGGGTGTTGATTTGCGTTATAGAGGCGTCGCCAAAGGATAAATATTAGCATTACTTACATATTTTTAATAGCTAATTAATATAATAAAAATGCAGATGGTCAACAATTATCAACATTTTTTATTATCAATGATCTACAGATGCATTTTGCTAGTGAAAAGTACCACAATGAGTAGACTTTAGATTTCTTATTCTACTTTAGGGCCACTATTTTCTGAAAATTATATTTCATAGTCATGAACCCATTTACATAAATGGGTAAGTATAAAAGTTTATTTTTCCCTAAGGATACCCACTGACATTGTTTTATGAAATAAAGTATTTTGTGGTTTTTTGTTAGGTAATGTATATATATTTTCTGTCTAAGATAGTCCACAATTATATTAAAATAAATAAAAAAGTTGTTTATAGTGTTATATTATTATTAATTTTTTATTATTATGAACAAATAAAGCTCGAAAAAATACTTACGATTTTCGGGATTTGGCGGACACTGTCCGCTGTTTGGGGAGTAAGATCTTGAATATGAGCTGCCCATTGTGCTGGACAAATAAGTGCCTTGAACAATATTTAGAAAAAACTAAATTATTTATTTTATTTTAAACTGAGAATTTTAATATGTTCGCATAAATAAGTAAACGATAAAATAAAATAATCACACTGCTTTCGAAGTCACAAAATATAAATTTTATAAGGCACAATAACTTGTACATTCATCGGATAAATTAAAACTGTGAAAGGTTTACCTTGGACAAACCGACTTGCAACCTTGTTGACCAAACCGTAAGTTTTGCGAAGAAATATTACCATTTTTTCAACTGTCAGTTAGTGAACGAATGAATGATCGGTCAATTGAATGTGCTGCCAATCAAAATAAGAATGAAAATAATATTTTATTCACATTTAAAAAAGACGATTAAGGAAATACTTGTTACCTATTAAAAAACAACTTGATGCTTGCAAATATTATCTTATCTGTTCTTTGACGTTTATTATAGACGCGCATTTATGAAGTTTCTTACGAATTTTAACTCTGCGAAAAAATGAAAATATTGTAATTTACATCTGTTTCAACAACATAAGTTTATTTGCAGTGCTGTAAATATTTTTGTTTCCTTTCCCTTACTGCCCACTTATTCAGGCACAAACAAAATGTCCTAAAAAAACTCTTGTCCAGTAAACTCAACCAATTTATTGTCTGTGAGTGAACGAACTTGGTTGATGTTGGATCGACGACGGACGTGGCTGGTGGAGAAATATTGTACTATGTTTTTCTAATATAAAATTGTGATAATAAGAAAAAATGTCGGAGACTATCGTAGCCAAGGGTCAACCCATACCTGGAGATCCCGAAAAAAAGGGTTGGCTATTCAAGTGGACTAATTATTTGAAGGGTTATCAGCGAAGATGGTTCGTGTTGTCGAATGGACTGTTGTCGTATTACAGGTAAATTGGTGATTAGAATCTTATTAGTACCTTTTGATTTTCATAGTATTCTAACTCGATATCTAAAACCACCTCTTAACCCTGTAAGAGGTTAGTCAAGTTTTATTGGTATGACGCAGTGTTTTTGCGGTATTTGAATTTGATTTTCCTGAGACCTAAGATGAATTGTCATAACAACAGTTTATTTTTATTTAAAAAGGTATTAAATCAACTAGGTCGTAAGATAAATACGTAGAATTCCAAGTTTAATATTATGTTGATGAGTAGTAGATATTTTAGTGGTGACAGTGACAGTAGATTAGTTGTAAAATTTTTGTTGGTTGCAGTAGTTCTGTTCTGTCAGACATGGTCCATGATCACACAACATGTTTGTGATGAGATAATATTTATGACAAACTAACACAGCAGGCTGCTATTGTTCTCACTGCATTGATTTATCAAATATATTTTAAATTGGAGTTGATATCACAAATGCATGTTATCAACACATTCATAAAACACACATTAGAATTCATTATAATAATGACATTTTTTAATGTATTGGATAATCATTGATACAATGTGTGGGGTCAACAAATATCTAAATAATACATTTTTATTCTCAAACAGCTAATATTAAGAGTATGGTATAAAATATGAAGTAATTTCCTATTAGAAAAAGTCAGCTATGTTATTATATTTCAAGGTGAACAAGTTTTTGTTCTAGTTCCATTGAATGGCACTGTGTAAGATGTTAACTTAACTATACCATATATTTAACTTGTTAATGTGCACTAATTAGACGGACGTCACAGTCATCTTACATCATATTTCTATGTCTAACCAATGCTTTGTACAAACCCACCTGTTGCAGTTATATAATTTTGATATTTTTTTATAATATCATAAAACTATTTGTTTAGATAGTCAGAACTGACATTAATTAGATAATCAATATTAAATTAGCATGACACATAAAAACTATGTTGTTACCTGATAATAATGAGATAAGCACAAAAGTTAAGTAAATCACATTGCCTTTTTAATCAATACTCCCGCATTTAATCTTTTAGTGTGCTTACACAGAACATGAAATAGATATCCTTGGTCCCTACCAATTACAGATTGAAGATTTTCTTATTTTAAGACATTTATAAGATAATAAGATGGAAGAATGGTACCAATATCAAAAAACAAATGCTTCAACATTGTTAACATCAAATCAAAAACAGAAGTTTACTAAAACCTTTATTTTATTTCTCATATCTCAGATAATTTTTCTTTTTACTTCCTAGCAGATACCACTTTTCACCTTGCCACCATAAGACTAAATATAAATAAAGGGCTATGTATAATAAGGTCTCATCCTTCTTATTTAATAATATCAATGTCAAAAAATACATAATAACTTAATGTTTCATTATTAATTTCAGAAATCAAGCGGAGATGGCTCATACATGTCGGGGCACTATATCTCTGCTAGGAGCTCTCATCCATACAGCAGACTCTTGTACATTTGTCATTAGTAATGGAGGCACTCAAACCTTCCACATCAGAGCTCATGATGAAGTTGAAAGACAAAGTTGGGTGACTGCATTAGAGTTGGCTAAGGCAAAGGCAATGTAAGTATATATTAATACAAAAACTTTAAGACATCCAGTTTTTACATGACTAAGCTAAACTTAAATTTAGGTACATAACTGTAATCTTGCTAATAATGCACATGATTTTAAGGACATCACAGCATACAATGAGTTATGCAACATTAATTCAATTAGATTATTTCAAGTAACTACATCAAATTATTTAAATTTATAACAAAAATATAAATACGACATATTTGATATACAAAAAGACTTATTTTGAGAAATAGAAAGGGCAATTAATAGACCAAATTAAATGGGGCTTATAGGTCTTGTATCTGTTAAATTTCCATATTTAGCTATAAAAAAGATTTAAATTTCTTACTAAGACATAATAATTAGTCAAATATACATATAACAGCAAATTAGCATACAAAGCAGTTGCCGCTTCTCATTGAATTTAAACATATATTTATATATTTTTGACTGCACGGTTGGTGCGGTGGCTGGGCAACTGGCTGCCGCGCAACGTGTCGCGGGTTCGATTCCCGCACGGAACAACTTTGTGTGATCCACAAATTGTTGTTTTGGGTCTGGGTGTCATGTGTATGTGTAAACACACCCACAACACAGGAGAAAATCCTAAAGAAAGGCAAAGTTTTTTAAAGAAAAAAAAAACTCTTCCATCAAATTTGTATGTTGATAACACTAAAATAAAACTTACTATTTGTCTACAGTAGGGCACAGGAGTCTGATGATGATGAGGATCAGATGTCGACAGACATAGGTGTTGCTGTGGGTGGTGGAGAAGGTGAAGGAGAAGATGCAGGAGGGATAGCGAGAGAACTGGCGGCTAGGTTCCACGACCTACGAACTTGTTCCGAACTGGTAGCAAGACATGGGGCAGCTCTACAGAGGTCTCTAGTTGATATGGAGACACCACCTACAGACACTACAAAACAAGTCTCAGAGCGAGCGACATTATTTAGGATATCATGCAATGCTATGATGAATGTAAGTTTGATGCAATATTGTAAAATGTTGGTTATAAACAGCAGTCTACATAGTAATGTTAATTTTCAAACCATTTTTGGCAATTTAATTAGGTTAACCCAAAGGTGGTTATGATTGATTGTATAGTAAGATAAAAGTAGTAAAATTATTGTGATAAACCAAACCCAGATTTTAACTTTGGGCTAACGGTTCACACCTTTATCAAACAAATGTCAAACTGTGTCAGTGTTTGTTTGTTAGGGATTCACTGTGGTTTGCTTTCCACTGCCTTACCCTTCGACTGTTTCAAGAACTTATTTTTAAGGTAAATCATACCTTTATGCCATAGTTGAATCGCCGAAACCATTTGAAGATAGAGAAAATGAAGTATTCAAATGTCAAATAATAAAAAAAAAATTTTAAAGCATTAAGATTAGGTACTCCTGCTTTACGGGCTGCCTGATTATGATCCTGCCTTGCGTGATAAGAGTAATCTAATTGGGTAATTAATCAGAACTACATCTTCTGTTATCTGTATTCTAAAGGGAAATACCTTTGTAGTGATAATGTTCTCATTTATTTTGATTGATACTAAAATCTCACTCAGGGAAATGCTAAACCCTTTATTGTATATGCACACAAGTAAAGTTATTATTTACTGTTAGGCCTGTTCAGAGTTCATGAGTGCAGCGGCGGCATCGAGTGCACGCATGAGTCGCGCGTTGCAACATGAACGTGAACAGAAGATGAGGCTGCAGGAAGTTGTGGAACAGCTCGCTCGGCAGCACGACAATCTAGAGAAGACTGTAACTGCGCGTAATACTTCCCAACCAGGTATGATTATTTTTATTACTTTTTTTATATAGGAAGTGATTTGCAGTAACAGAATCACTTTGGTGTAACTTTGAGGTGAAATAGAACTGATATTTCTTTGTATAAAAAAGTTTAAACGTTAATTTCCGCTTTATTTGTGTGTTATGATGATATTGGTCTCAAAAGCCTCCTTGTAATCACATGTACTCTTTCCTGCATCAAAACATAAAAAACTAAATTTGGCAAGGTCGAATTATTGTATATTTTCATGTTGCAACACCGCAAGATGCCAAGATTTTCATGCTATAACCCTATTGATAGTTCAAATATAATTGGCTCGATTCCTTACACCTTGACCTCCGATTGACATGTGCTTAAAATTATTAACCAATCTTTGAGCAAAATGAAATGATCTTTATTGACCTCATTTTTATTCAATTTTAATGTAACATGTTCCTACGAGCACTACTGTGATAATATTATCTTACATGCACATTTACAGTTATTAAAACCACCAAGAAGTATGTGAGAGGTGGCATAATTAAGTAGTAAGAAGTAAGAATTATCGGAATCAATCATGATTACTGAATGTTTAGAACAAATAATAATATAACCAAATCCTTTATTGCTCACTCTTTTTTTCACATCACCTGTTAGTAAGTTGTTACCACGACATTTCACTATAAAGTAACAGCCGCTTTCTATGTCCCTAAATACGGATTTTGATGCGTTTATTTAATGGATAGAGTGATTGAAGAGCATAGTTTATACGTCTAATAACATCGAGTTAATAGTGGATTTTAGTATTAGCTTAGCTAGCTAACAACCCTCACAGCCGGTTCGGGCACAATTTTCAATAACCATTTGATGATTTTTGCCACACAAAAAAGGTAGGTATTTTTAGACCTAAAATTATTATCTGTAGTGCCAGGTGTCATACAATAGTAAGATAATTTTTTATTAGAATTATCTACAATATTAGATATAATGACATCATAGATATATGTTGCAGGTGCTGTAGGTAAGAGTTATTATACTGATTATTGCAGAATATGTCAACATATTTAGCAACGATTGCCGAGAAACTCAGGAATCAGAGTATATTAAATCTGTTGATCTGTATCAGTAGATGTGGTAGGTATAACCAAATTCCTTATAGAGAATACGTTGGTTACTAAAATAAAACACTTAAAATCATCGTCAATAAACGTTTCCGAACGAACATGTTGCAGTTGCCAACCTAGAAATACTTTAACGTGAAGGTAGTTCGAATGAATGAATGAAATGTAACACTTCCGTTAGGATTCCGACGTGAAACGGAACGTGTCATTCGTGACGGATGAAAAATCGAAAAGAATCTTGCGTTTCGGGTTAAAAAAATTAGAAATAATTTCATTTGAAATAAAATATATCATTCAAGAAGTGTGTGTGATACAAAAACAAAAATGAATATACATTTATAAAATAACTACCTTGTTTCGGTATGTAGAAGTGCACTTTTGCGAAACGATTTAATTGTCATACTATTGTAGACAGATTTTTTGGTGATTTTCAAGGTTGTTGTTTTTCAGTTGAACGTATTACAGTTTGTAATTGGTTGTTCTCTATTCGTTTATTTAATTAACGTGAGTCGCGATTAAAGTGTTGTCATTTGGCAGTGCAGTATTTTGTTAGACCTGCCTGGTAATAACAAAATCATTTTGATGTACGCGTCTATTGTGATCTTGGCCTTGTATTAGCTTTGCGTTATTTATTATTCTTGTTAGGCTTAAAGCAATGATAAATTGAATTCTCCATAACAATACAACAATATGGGCGGTAAGTGGAATAAAATAATAAGGAAAACACCTCATCACTGAATGCTATGTGGCTTTCAAGTTGATTTCATGGGGTTATTTTAGTAACAAAATTATCATCATACACTAAGCCATGTATGTAATCACTCACAGTTAGAATAGAGAATACTGTTGAAACATTTGTGCTTAATAAAGAAATGTCAGCAGAAGCAAGTTTTGTACAAATGTTTAGTAAATTGTATAGTGATATATTTGATAACTGCAACACACCACTAACCTAGGTGTTTATAAATTTCCTACAGGTGTGGTGAGAGTGACATGTTAAAGCATAAATAAATTGGTTCACAATAAGTATCAATGCATGGTATGATCAATTACTGCATGTTTACTGTATAATAGTGTTTTTTTTTCGTTGTAGGTAAAAAATTATGGTTGATGCAAGAAAGAAATGACATATGTATTACAATGGTGCTTTAATTATTTATCCAATACTTTTTTTTCAACAAGGAATGACCAAAGTGATGTATCTATTTGTTTGTTGCCTTTGGTGTTAGAAATATTGTCACAATATTTTTTTTGCAACATGTTCTTTGTAAATTGCTGTATTTACTTACACTACATTTGTTTTTGTATGGAGTCATTTATTTTCATACTCTTTAGCTTACATAGAATTTGTTATTCTAGTCATTTTAGTTACATTCAAATGATATTACAAGTCGAGACAAAGGTTTCAGAGTTATTAGTTACCAATAGAACAAAATTGACTGTGTAGTATATTAGTCAATGCCATTATAATAACTATTAGATAAGTATGTAGAGCAGAGGAAATAATAGTTTGTTTGTTTCATTAAAATATGAACTCATCATTTTAAGATGAAGTAAAACAATAATTGGAGGAAAATATTAAATTAACATCTTAATATATTTGCTTAGTATTGTGTAAATCCTATTAATATTATAAATGCAATAATTTGTACATATAGATGTTTTTTACTATTTCTTGTTAAAAATACCTTTCAGATCTCAATTGTAATTAAGTGTACAATGACTGAAATAATATTTCATCGCCATTAAAATTCATTCATATTATCTTCATGTAAAAGTATTCCATGTGCACAGGTGGGAACGGCTCCGGACAAGGCAACGAGACTGAGGATGAGGATCATGAGTTCTTTGATGCTGTGGAAGAGGGAGTCTCCACAAACATGGACGATGCAAATTCCTTTGTGATTAAAGTGCCCGTAAGTCCTCTACACTATCATTTAACTTTAGAGAACACATGAGTCATCAATACTAAATGCATATTGTTTTTACCCTTTGTTATTGGAGAGGAGCAAAGTCAAACTAATATTATTTATATACAAAACTAGTCTGCATGATAAAACGTGGACACAAAACTTGAAAGTGTGTAAACATCATTTTATTATCTGTATTTGTATACCAACATATACTTTGTAACTCTTATCTAATCTTTCACGTGGATCTTAACACAACATTAATTATTTAGTTTTAATATTATTTTGTTTAATTATAGTATGTAGAGAGTGACTGATAAGTTGAACTAACATCATTATAGTGTCCAAAGAGATCAGTGTACATAGATCTATGCATATTAGTCATCACTATAACGTGAGGGCGGTTATTGAATGTCACGGTCGTTTTTCATTGTTTTGTGTGTGAATTTACAGGTAAATAGGAAAAACAAAGTAAAAAGCGGTGAAAGTTCAGATGAGTCTGAGGGTGAATCCGTAACTGAGACTCAACAGGTAAGTTAATTCTCATTTCTATACACTACTATTGGTAGCAACAAGTCTTACAGGTTGTTTGATGGTAGGCATTCACCAAACTCTTGGCCTTGGTACTCAAAGGTCGGCTGAGGTAGGTGTGTCCTTGACCATTTAGGAATTTTTGTTTGTTAGCCATGAAACTTTAGGCACCTTGTGACTAGCCTGTAATAACCAGCCAATAATCAATCTTTTGTATATATTAGTATGTCAATTTCGTCTGTTTTTATTTTAAAAAATATTGTTTGGTTACTCTCACTCACAAGTAGAAAATTTTTGCATTGCATATATACATTCTGTATAAATTCCTTTTCTATTTGAAATTGTGTAAGCCAGTTTTATTTTCAAGCAGCAGTAATTGTTTAATTGTGTGTTAACATTAGTTTCATGGCCCATTGACTGATAATGTGCGCATGAATTGCAAATTAGCTGTTTGGACGACAAGCACTTATCATTTTCAAGTTAAATGGAGTATATATATTCTTAAAATAACAGAAATATCTACTTCTGACAAAGCTTGCGAAATCGTTAAAGACTAATAATGAATGTAGTAATTCCAAGTCAAGTTCAGACTCGTTTTGTTTATTTTTTTATTCGTATTTTTAGAAACCAGTCCCAGTTGATGTTAATAAAAAATGTAAAAGTGGTCTTCCAACTTATGAATACTCCTTTAGATAATGTACAGTTATTCTTTAATTAATTCTATAAAAAACATTGTTTTGCATATTATAATTGAAAACGTTAGTTGGTTTTTCAATCAACAGAGTATGGCATAAAGTAACAAATTGTTGGTTTTATGACAGCAATCCTGAACAGAACATAGGCTGACCTTGAGAATATTTTTTTTTGAAGTTTAAAAAAGACCGGTGTCGATGACTAATCGTAAGTTTATTGTTCTATGAAGGTGATTTTCGTGGAAGATAAAGAGCGTACAGAGAGCGCGATGGGCGGTACGGAAGCTGAGACCACCGCCGAAGGTGAAGCCATAGTGCCTAAAACACAAGACATCGTAGTATGGGTAAGTTTACTGGAACCATAGACGACATTAACACGTTTTAGTGACTGTTCTGCAAAACATTTTAATAATAATATTAGGCCCTCCGTGCATAATGTACCTATATATACTTAACTATAATATATGTACAGAGAAATCAACAAAATATTATTGATAATGTAATAATATTCACTTAATAAATACTCATTGAAAATTAATGAGGACTGAAAGTGGAAAATTGCATTTATAACTTCAATTTTATATTTTACATTTAAACAATAAGACTTTAATAATAATATCTACAAATGTGCTCTCAAAAAGTTATTTATAGAATGCATTGGCATATTAATACCAATGCCGACGAAAGTGCCAATTGACCTGAGAAAGAATGTAGTGAGTCGAACAGCTAATCAAATTATATGACACTCGAGTACTACGTGTCTAATTCACTCCGATTTATGTTTATAATCACAATGATTTTCTGAATAAATTTATTAGCATTGGTAATTACCTCGTTAATAATAACGGAAATGTATTCCTACTATGATGAATACATCTTTGAAATTTTGAGAACACCAACTGAACTTTATATATTTTTTTTATATACTAAGCACAAAACTGATAATATTCAGTTGACACTATAATTACTAAAATATGAATATTGTGTAGTTGTAATACCACTCGAAAAAAAACAGTTAAACAGGATAATAATATTATATAATATTACCTGTGTCGCTGGTTCGATTCCCGCACAACAACTCTTTGTGTGATCCACAAATAGTTGTTCCAGGTCTGGATGTAATGTGTATGTGAAATTATATGTTTGTAAACGCATTCACGACACAGGAGAAAATCCTAGTACGGGGAAACCTATATTTTTTAATTTGTTCATGACCTGATAAATAATAAAAGTAGCAGAGCCCGCTGAATGCAGGTAGCTTCTAATAGGCCGATCTTGCCTTGGCTCTCCCAATGACTAGATCGGCATTAAATCACGCTTAGTAGTGGATGTTCTGTTGCTA